TCCATATTTTTAGACAGTTTTCCGCAAATAGCTCAAAAAGTAAGTATTTTATCGAAAAACATATTTTTAGCAAAAATATAGCTTATAAAAAAGTTAAAAAATGATGTACTTATACCTATATGAAGTATGTAGACTTAGTAAAAGCAGAGTTGTAGCTAATGAAAAGTAATTCAAATTTCAAATCGAATATTTCAACGGGAAATATCAAAAAAATGAAGCACTTTTCGGGAAAACTCGCTGTCGGGGAAAGTGCTTTTTTTTTTATTCTTTCACGTTGAAATATTGGATTTGGAATTTGACGAATAAGAACCTACTTTTCATTAGCTACAAATGTGCTTCTGGCTTTATACGTATACCATTTTTTTTTGCTATTTCATAAGCTATATTTTTGCTAAGAAATTTTTTTCGATAAATTACTTACTTTTTGAGTTATTTGCAAAAACCTTTTTTTTTGTTGTTGAAAATTGAACATATTCACTCGCAAATAACTCGAAAAGTATTGACTGAGTGAAAAACTCTATAGAACAAAGGTTGTTTAGAATTAGTCAGTTTATCCAATTCCTGATTTATTTTAAAAGTATGTTTTTTCACCCCTGAGAATGGGTGAAACTCACCCCTAGGGCAAAAACACACATCGGTACAATATAACTTTTTTTTATTTGACATATTAGCTATATGTATGCCAAATGTCATGTCAATCTAAGCTGTTCTTTGGGGAGGTTTTATCGTGAGTGAATGGAATATTTCTAATTGGAATATTTCTTGGACTTGAAAAAGTGTACAGAATGCAGTTTCATAACTTTACCCATATTTTCGATGATGCTGGTTTTATTACAATACATATTATTTTTCCCTAGGCTATTTTGACATTCTCTCAATCAACTAAGTACATTAAGTTATTGAGGATAAATAGAATAAAAAAAATGTCAACCACTGATACGGCCGATGAACTCCTTGATATTGATTTAACCCTCACTCCACCTAAAAAAAGACCAGTAAAGGGACATTTTTAAGTTAAAATGCAGGAACTCATTATAAATGTATTTAAAACGAAAATGCAGGAGAACCCTACAATGTCGAAAAGTGTGATTTCTATTAGAGTAGCAGATAAAACACGTACCGATATTGTTTCTCCATTATTTATTTTAGAGTGCGCTGCAAAAAGCCAAAACAAAGTAGTGTTTAGGCTTCCCCTATACCATTGTGACCTCAATCCGATTGAGCTCATCTGGGCAGAATTAATCTAAAAAATTATGTAGCAGCCAAAAACACTACTTTTAAATTTGCAGATATGAGAAATATTTTTTATGATGCAATAAATAATATTAGTCCAACTACGTGGCAGAAATGTGTGCAACACGTTCAACAAAAATTCGAGTCCAAAATGTGGAAGTTGGACAATATAATCCAACCATATCGAACCATACCAAACGCTTAATAATAAATCCAGACGAAGACACCAGCACATGTAGCTGCTCAGACTCTGAGTAATTTAATTGGTATGTTTTTATGCTTTGATCAACTTATGACAATGCTACTTTATTCAAAATGTTCACTTTATGTATCTCTCAGTTAATGAATATTTTATTTTAACACATTTTTTTTTCAATAGAACATTGAATTTTGCTCACAATGATTAAATTTCAAGAAATTCTTAGACTAATAGTTTCAAAAGTAAATATTTTTAAAAATCATATGATACACCTCAGTACGACCCTGTTTGGCTTTCACGTGAATTTGTTGACAGTTGGGAATATATAAAATGAATGTAGTTTAGTGTACTATTTGTATAAAAAATTGCAGAAGAAACGGAAGAAGTGTAAAAGAAAAATATGGATACATCCTATTTTGTAAGAAAGAGAAAAGTATGGTGCTTTCCATACACTTTATGAAGAATTGAAAAAAGATGAAACAACATTTTTCAATTACTTCTGACTGGGCCAGGAAACTTTTCGCAAATTGTTAGGAACAGTACATGATGAATTAAAACGTGCTGATACTAATATGTGGCTATCCATTCCAACTGCTGGGAGACTAGCTGTTACCTTAAGGTATGTATGAATAATTGTGCTATTAGTATAACAGAATAAAAAACTTTTTAAAACTCAATAGATTGTTTATCATTTAAAATATAGAGTCTACATACAAAACAAAAATTATTAGTAAAAAAAGGTGATTTTGCAAAATCGAAATCTACGTCGCTTTGGCTAACAGACGACTGATCTGATATTCAAGATTGTTTTACAATGGAGATAATTCTGGTGCTGGTGTTTGTGATTCACTCATTTGACTGAAATTTGCAGTTAAAGTTGAGGGGTACTCGATATGGCTCAAATGTTGTAAGGTTTCTATTCTGCTGAAAGAGATATGCTTGTTTTTGATATGACGTACTCCTTTCAAAGTTCTGGAGCTGATAATTGGCTGGCCAGCCCAGCTGGCAGCTGGGCTGCGGCTGGTAGCTTTGGGGCTGCGGAATATGCTGCGCCATAAGCATATTTCTATTTGGATGTTTCAGCCATGTATGTTTTTCAATAAAGTGATAAAACAAAAGTGTATCTCTTTTAATTTATCTAATAAGGGCCATAAAATGGGGAAAAAACATGAGCCTAATAGAATATATTTGAGAAAAAAATCGAAAAGCTACCGTTGTTCTCACAGGAATATAGCTAGATAGGTATATTTTATTCAATCATAGATGGGTTTCAGATACTAAAATTCTTCTAAATTTATAGCAGACATTAATAAGAAACAAACTCGATTACGGATGCATTTGTTATGCAACAGCAAATAAAAATCAACTAAAAAAAACTGGAAAATAATCAAACCATTTCTCAACGACTAATCTTTGGAACCTTTAGAACTGCTCCAATAAGAAACCTTCAAGTGATAGCAGAAGAAACGCTATTATACCTCAGAAGACAATATATATCACTATACTACGCTTCAAAAATTCTAAGCGTAAAGGATCATACCTTTCTTGCAAGTTTAGTATCGAAAGAATCACTAGAACAATACACAAATTACATCACCAAGACAGTACCATCTTAAAACGAGTTAAAAGACTACCGTATTATATCAATCAAATCACCTTGGCGCCCATAAAAATATACCAGACACCTCCCTGGACAGTTTACCAATAGTAGACCTCTCCCTAATTAATCATGATAAGCATTAACACATTTCTGCAGAGGTTAGGCTTCAGTATCATGAAAATTAACTCAAATATTCCATTAACAAATTGTTCTTCACTTATGCCTCCAAAGATGGTAACGGAGTAGCAGCTACTACTGTATAAGAAAAAGTAATTACTACCACTAGATTAACTAACGGCTGTAGTATTTATATTGCTCTAAGCAATACTTGACGCACTAAATCATTGAAAAACCGCAAATGAAAAACAAATACTAATATTATCAGATTCATTAAGTTCTTTACAGGCATTAAACATGTTTATTCTACACAAAGTAATATATTCCCAATTAAAAACGCGTTGCAACAGCTCCAATTTTCTGGAAAACCAGAATTTATGTCGGAATAACTGGTAATGGGCTAGCAAACAAAACAGCGTCTGAAGCAATAAACAGTGTGAAATTAGCGGATATTTCCGTGTTTATTGAATATTTCTTTTTTAGACTTTTTGGTTAGAAATCTGGATCTGGCTCTTAAGGCTCTAAATCTAGCTTAGTTAGTTTCGGAATTGTGTTTTTTCAATATATTAAAGGAGTGTTTTGTTTGTTTCAAAGAAATTTCTATTTCGATATTCCACCAGCGTATTTTTTATTTCATACCTAGTTTCAGATCCATATACAGATATTACTTCTTTTCCTCTACCTGTAATTTTTTATAATACCGTGAAGTAAAAATAATTTATTTTTAGTAATGTATATCAGCTGCATTAAGTCCATCATAATAATGGTTTAAAAGTAATGTCGAAACTTTAAGAGTTCATTTGGATTTTCGTCAAAATTTGGAAGAATGCATGCATTTTTAGCTCTTAATTTATCTAATCTGTTACTAAATCTATCTCTTCGCAGTTATTTAATTTTTCGTTGAAATTAGCTTCTAAATCTATATATATATATATATATATATATATATATATATATATATACATATATATATATGTGTGTATATATATTTAAATTTAATATAAAATTAATATTTCTTGTAACGAAGTTCGTTAATGTCTGTGTCACGTTTTACGTTTTGAATCTTGACAAAGGCAAGGGTTTCCTGCCGAAACGTTGATTAATTGCAATGGAAAATAAAATCTAGTTCCACATGTAACATATCTTTATTGAACCTAACCCAAGAAATATTAATTTTATATTAAATATAATACGGTTCAAGAAACTCAAAACTACAATATATTTAAATTTATATCTTCGTAATTCTAATAATAAAATTCGCTTATAAGACAAAGATGATGTGCATTCCTTCGATCTTGAAGACTTTTAACTTCTAATTCCCTCGGGTAAACTCTCTGCAGGCGGTTTCCCTAGGGCTGGTTCTTAAAATAGTGGACAAGCACTTAAAAGTGACGAGGATCTTTAAGACTCTTCCACTTCCTTACTGACTGCGCCAATTATGAATGTTTTTTTGAAAAACATTTTTTTTTTAAAGCACAATAACTCAAAATATACTTTTATTTTACAGTACTTAGCAAAAATGTTTGTAACAATTCAAAATATATTATTCAGACTTCAAATACAAATATATAAGATTTATATCACACTAATATTTATAATAATTCCACTTGCTGAATTTGCTGTTCTAATTCGTCGCAATCGATGTTGCAAGGTTCCAGACGGTTCGGTGCTGATAGGCGGTAACTTATTATTGAATTCACGTGATCGAATATTAGATTCTAGCGGTCATTGTACTTTACCTCGTGTTATAAATTACATAACTTTTGAATATTCTAAAGATTTACTCTTATATAAATAAAAGTTTATGTTTTGTTTTTATTTAACAATAACTTATTGATTCTCTTGTTCCAGTCTTTCCCAGTAACAGCTAGTACTCTATCAATGATGGTAATATCAGTGGATCGCTACTTCACCGTAAAGAACTACAGACCAATCGGACAAGTGGCGACGAGACGTCAAGTATTGAGCTTTACTGTAGCAGCTACCTGGCTCTCAGCTGCAATTCTAGCATCCTTTCAAATAATTTCAAGATATAAACATCCATGGAGGAAGGGACTTACGATTAGCCGCATTGCTATGGTCCATATCATACCAGCCTTCACTGTGATGATGAGTCATTTGGGAGTTCATGCCAAGCTCACTGCTCTATCATTGACTGCTAGAGCAAAACATGGAGAGTTGCCTCTACCTATTCCCTTAATGAGACGGCCTACGCATGTTATTATTGTAGCTGGAATGCCTAAGGTACGTATAAATATTATCTAAAACTTGGTAATATAATAAGATGACATACTAAAAGAAGACTGGGGTAAATATTGGCACATTGAAGATAGGTGGGACGAATTAAACAAGTATGGCCTATTATGAGATAATCAATATTAATTAAATTAATATCGACTGTATTTCCTTCGATAACCTTGGTGAGATAAATGAACTTTAACTCATAGGTGCAAACAATAATCAAATCATAAATGGTTGCAATAAACAATCAAAACATTATATATGTTACAGATAAAACTAGGATTGGACTTGCCGGTACATTAAGTTATTTCCGCAATTTGTATTGGATCCAACTATAACAAAACGAGTATATATCTATGCGAACCTGGTGAATCTGACCTAATTGGTGCTTCTAGACTACAAGCAGATACGTTTAAATTGACACATTAATTATTGTGTCTTCTTTATTCCATGTCTTCCAAAGACTCTATCTTAAATTTTTCCTATTTGTCTTGTCTGTTTTTACTACTATGTATTTGTAAATTTTAACTAAAAATTGATATATTTTTAATAATTTAATACTTTAATATTAAGTTTTATTATGTTGCAGGGAAGAAAACAGATGAGTATATCAAGTGATCAAGATGAAATCGAAGAAACTCCGCCACCTACGTCAAGTCTACGAAGCCGACGACGCTTAGCTAATTGTCTGCTCTGCTTATCTCTGTTTTTTATTCTCTGTTGGTTTCCTTACGTTGTCTGCCAATTTTGTGAAGAATTCATGACAGGAACTACACCTAAATATGTTCAACAACTAACCCTCTTTCTTGGGCACATGCATTCAGCAATCGGACCTATTCTATACTGGAGTATGAACCACAAATGGCCGAAGGGTCCTTGCAGTAGAATTCGTCATCTTACAATTTACAGAAGTGCTTCGTCTACCAATGAAGCTGCTCTTGGTCCATTTAACCCACGTTTGGTGAGACCCCCACCTTATAGACGAAGATCGTCTCAATATCTATATTAACTCTGTGATCTCAAATCTATCTGAGTAAATCTTCAGAAAATGCAATATCTGTTATCTGTGTACTATCCAAAGTCTAAAAACACTCTTTAAAAGAAATAAATATAGAAATAATAATAAACACTTTCTGTTGATTTATATCAGAGTACACCTTTTCCGCAAGATCGTTTTCGTTGTTAAAATATTTGTTGACAAATTATAAATGTGTGATAGAACAAGGCTGAATAGGACATTTTAAATGTTAGTATTGATCTATTTTCAAACGATTTCCTCTCTTCCTTCTTCCAGGTTTCCATATAATCGTTTAATAAAGTATTACGAAAAGCAATGTTGTATGTGTTTGATGTTGACTTTCTTAGATTTGAACCTATTCTGAAATTTCTTAATATAGTGGAATGTCTTAAACGCCTAGACCTAGATACTCACTAAGATTTAGAAGACTTTTCTATCGGTAAGTTGAATGTTATTTGTATGTATAAAAGTTTTTTAATCCCTACCTAATTTGTAATTGTTTTTTTTTTTTGGAACATTTTGTATTACTAAAGTGTAATATCCGACAAAAAAATTAGTACCGAAATTCAGAGTCATAAAATACTATTCATGCAAATAAAAACTTCGTCATTAATATCCTTTACATTATAAAGTTTTTAATTAGATCGGCGTTAGATTATTAACTAGAGATGTGATATTTGGCAACTGCAGACTGAATATATGAGTGTAAACCTGACGTCGAGGCTTTGAATCCTATTTATTTTTTAAAAGCATATACTTTTGTAAGACATTTAGATAATTACATTTTTTTTGGTGCCTGACTGACAAAAACAGATATGTATATTATTTATTTATGTAAGAAACAGCCTTTTGAGCATAAACTTCGTTCTGATAGATTACCGACCTGCATCGGGGTGTTCATCCTAAACAACTTAACGGAAGTGGCTCAGATGGTCGAAGATCGATTTTAACATGTTGTAAATTTGTTTTTTAATACCGTCAAGGAATGGAAATTTTCTTCGATAATGCAATTTTTATTTGCTAAAAAGAATGCTGTGTAAAATGGCAAGTTATTAATTAATTTTGAGTTAATTTAAAACACTTTTAAAGTGTTTTAAAAGAAAAAAGAAGACGAGAGCTCTTTTTATAAAATGAGGCTTATCATTGGTTAATTTTCTTTTGCTTTGCTAGATTTTGCAAAATTGGGTAACTAATTTTATGCAGGATGCGAAAATTACGCGCCAACAACAAATTATGTGCAAATAGCGTAATTATACCCCGATTGGAACACTGCTGTAGCGCCAATGTGTGGTCAGCATCACCAGTATTGGTGCAAATCCCTTTGATGTGTACGCAAAAACCGACAGTCCACAACCACAGAAAACTCCCAACGTTGGAGTAAGTCATAAAAATGTTGACGGCAAAATTGACCAAAAACACAGTTTGTCGGTACACACATTGGACGAACGCTGTTGGGGCCAACGTTGGCCCCCATGTGTGGAGCCTGCGTAATTTATTTTTAGCCGTACTTTACGACGGAACTAGTTGCAATATTTCCATATAATCCTGAAAATTTTACCGATGAAAACTTTGCTCCAGGTGAATCATTCATACAAGAAAAAGATAAAAAACACTAAACCAAGAGAAAAAAAATTGGATTAGATAAGGAGAAAAATAATAAGGAAGTTAAGGGGAATAAAGAAAGATCGACATATGACAAAAAGTTTGAAGTATCTTTTGTTGACATAATTCCACTACCAGGATGCTCAAAAGATGACTCAGTTGGAAATAAAAGATCCAACCACAAAAGCAACAGGAAGCAACATTCCGAAATAATGACATCAACACCAATGAAATTACTTCTAGAAGAACAACAGCTGAAGAAGGAAAATCAAATGAGAAATAAAGCCAGCAAAGGAACCAAACGAAAAATATACATTGAAGAGTCCAGTCCTCCGCGAATAGTTCCAAAAAGAAATTGTATAAGAACACCGAAGATCACAGAAGATATATCATCTGAAGATGAGGATGATCTTCATGAGGATATTATCTGAAGATGAGAATGATGAATTCGGTAGAAACAGAGAACTCTGGATCCAATACAGCATTTGCAGCCAATGGCCACCCAAACACTGTACCAGTTTCGAAGACAAAACTTACATTTGCGATTTCTGCATTTAATTATTTTTTACATGGGGGTAATAGTGGCAGTGGCTACTTTTACCCCACGGCAGGGGGCAATATGGCCACCAGCAGAAGTTTGAAAACCCGTTTTATTTTTTTTGTTCTGTTTAAAAATTTTTTCTAAATAGAGTTTTAAGTACTAAGGTTTGAAGTTTTATTTACGTTAATAGTATAATTTTTAAAGCTATGTAGCAGTATAAATAAACTAAAATTCTTAGGCGGCCACTACCCCCCCCCCCTTTCCTCTATTGTTAGTAGAGATTAAGGCCTATATGAGGATACTTCATTCGGTAGCTTCTCTGATTTTAATATCATTATCAATAAAATTTGGCTATTTGATATAATTATATTATTCGGCATTTTCACTATGTTTTTACGAGGCACATTTATTAGTTTACATTAAGTCATATCCTGGTGTTTGTTTCGAAATTATGTTTTTTTTATCCCATCGGCTACTTTCTTCGGAAAAGTTGAGTATTTTCTCTGTTCTGTTTGATTAGGATCTATCAATCCTTAACCATTATCTTGCTATATGGTATGTATCCTTTGAATTGAATGTATTTTCAAATTGTGTGCCGATTGTGTATACTTCTAGCCTAATTCTAGACCATGTCAATGTTATTGTTGCCTTTTATAGAGAGTAATCAGTGCTGGTATTATCTGTAAACACTCTCAGATCAGAACTAGGTACTTGATTTATTTTTTGTTTGAATTTCCCCAAAGTCTGAAGCTACTGATTAGCATTGTTCAAAATGAATCTAGGCTTGTTAGATTTCTAGATGGTTGATTGATAATACGATTAATAAAGCAAATTTTAATAGACAAAAACACTTGGTAAAAGAATTATGTTAAATCATTATTTTATTAAAAAAGTAAATTAATAAATCTATGCAAACAATATAATATGTCAATAAGAAATATTTACTAAAAAAATATGTTATAATACTATATATTCTTGAGAAAACCTTTTCATATTCCATTAGATTCTAATATGAAAGGTAGTTAGAAAATCGGGAGCCCTAGTGATTACATGTTCAAACTCCATAAACGAAAGTTTTCCGTCCCCATCGACATCTGCCTCTTCAATCACTTTTTCTGCAATTTGTTGTCTATCTTCGGGAGTCAGCTCTTGAGTATTTCTGGTGAGCAGAAGTAGGGCTTGGTCAATATCTTCAGGTCCTACGTGTTGGTCACTATCAAAATCTATAACAGATAATATACATATATATAATACTGCCCTGCTAAGCTGAAAGGTCGTATCTAACAATTGTGTTATTTTAAGAAAAACGCAATTAACTTAAGTTTACTGCGCCATCTGTAATATTAATGATATCAAACTGTAATTTTGAATGAACTTGATTTGTGTATATATTCCACCAAAATTAATATTTTTGGAAAAGATATATAAGCAAAAACAGGCTGTTTATGTTTGTTTGTTTAAACTATTTACATAGAAAGACATAGACTATTTTTAGTTTGTAGTTGAATAATTCTTAGCTTTTTCAATATGATTGCCTAAAATTAAAAGCTTCAGGATAAAAGTTTCAGAGAATAATTTGTTTTGTGTTTGTTTACATTGCATCATTTATTTTTTGTTTTCTAATTTTATAGTTTTCTAAGCTTTTAGAATAAAGTGAGTTTTCTTAATAAAAAAGCTGAGGAGTGAATGGATTTTTATTTTATTAACCTAATCTTCAAATTCTTTTTTTTCTTATATTCATATTCGCAAAACATTTGCACAAATTTCGCGAATGCGAATATGCAAAAATATGCGAATATTCGCGAATGCGAATATTCGTTACATCACTACGAGGTATCACTTTCCATAAGGGCGTATTTAAAACATTTCAAACTTCTATGGGAGAAATACATGTAAAACAGATTTGTTTGGAAAGGTCTTCTAGGCACCGCCCATTGTGACGTCAGACTTAGGTAATCCATTCTGAAGAAGGGATCTTTATCTATAAAAGACATGCTTTAGTTGAAAATTCATTTTACATATTAAATCTTTTCTTGTTATTTTGTTTAAGTTATATTTAATATTTAACCAAATATCTGCCTTTTATAATTTTATTTCATTTTTTATAAATTCATACATAACCTCTTCCCACATTCATTTTATTTAACTAATTTGTTTATAATAATTATAGCTGTTTTATCCTTGGCAATTTGCGATTTTCTATTTAATATTGTAATTCTTTTTAATTTTCTTATGGCAAGGAAACATTTTAAAACATATGCAGTGGCTAATACATGGTTAATTATTTTTAGCAAAATTTCTCCTATTCCCCCTTGTTGGGTGGAAAAAAGCCTTGTGGTGCACCACACATATAGGATGATAACTGCAGCAGGTATGCACAACTTAATAGCTGCTCGGACATCTACATTCTGCTATGCTGTGAAGCCAACATCAGCAAGTAACCATTACGTTCTGCAATCATTTGAAGCCAACAAGTTGTCTAGTGATGACATAAGTATCATTTTATATGTTAAAAGGTTATGACAAGATTTTTTTGTTTAATTTTATTAAAATTTCAATTTTTATATTTTTTTATTTATAATAAATATGATTACTTAATATCTTGGTTTATTTGTCCCAGCCGCAACTCATTTTTCATCTTTACTTCTAAGATAAAACACCTGAGAAACTGAGCTACACGAGGCCTAACAATTGGCTTCCAAAGAAAGTTGTTAGTTTTATTGTTCTGCATTGGCTCTCAACTTTCGGGGATAGTTATACTCGAAATTTTTTAAATCATTTGTATCCGAGAAGATGGATTTGACGTCGTGGATTTATTGAATGGCCACCAAGATCACCAGATTTTACTCCTCTAGATTTTTACCTATGGGGTTACCCTAAATCCAAACTGTATGTGAGCCAGTTGACGACACTTGATGAACTCCGTCAAAGAATAATTGAAGAATGTAATAGGATTGATATACAGACCCTACAGATAATTACGGAGGCAGCGAAATAAAGAATCTACTTCTGCCAGGAAGTAAATGGCGAACATTTCGAGCATCTCCTGCAGTAATTTAAGTTTTCTTTAGGATAATTTGCCAGTTCCTTTAATTTTAAAGATGTAATTTAATACATTATTTTTTGTATATTTTATTTTAAATAAAACCATTATGCCATACAAAATTTAAAACTTAATACATTTTTGAATTCTTCTTTTCAAACCCTTTCCAAAGAACTGGGATCAAAGACAAATGGGACAAAAGACAAATGGGACCCCCATTGTTATTTAAAAAATCTGGGGGTAGCTGTCAAGTGAAGGGGATGAAAGGGGTGACAATTTTTTTTGTTATAAAATACCTCTATTAAAATAAAAATTAACGGGTCCGAGCGTTTTTCATCTTTGTCATAACTTCACTAGGGAGTTCACTAGGGAGGGAATATCCACACTGTATAAGTATTTAGTGTATTAGTTATATGATGAATTTAATTAAAGAAGATCGCATCCAAAATTTCTGATCCCATGTTCTTAAAAAAATTGTAAAAATAAATTTAATCATGTTGAACAAGTTGATTTTTCTCATATAGATTTTATAGATCTCGGGTAAATAGTTAAATATTCTAGGAATAAATCATTGGGTTTTCCAATTGATTTATAAGCATTAGTAATTTGGACATAGTCATAAATTTTTCTTCTAGTGCTGTATGATCTATGGATTTTAATACATTTTTATTTTTGTATGTAAGCAAAATTATGTTTAACAAATATAACTGCCTCATATTAAAAATATCTGCTTGCTGAGAAAGAAGTTCTGATAAATATAAGCGAGATTTTTTTAGTATCATTTTTAAAAACCTCCTTTGTAGTATTTCGAGTTTATTCATGTGAGAAGCATATAGTTCCACCTCATGCTAAAATGGCATATTTAAGACAAGACTCTATCAAAGAATTTTATACTATCTTTAAATAAGACAAAGTAAGGATATTGCTGAGATATCTAAATTTGTATAATAACATTCTTAGAGTTTTACGTACTATATCAATGTACATCCCACTTTAAGTGGCAACCAATATTAATGCCTAAATATTTTATGTATGTTTTACCATTTATTTTAATGTATGCATTATAATAACTTACTTTTTTTAAAAAAGGAAAAAACAATTAAGATTTGATTTTACGTATAGTGCGTCTATGTATCTGCTTATACGTATTTTGGCCTAATAGGCCTCTTCAGAACGGCAATTCATAGTCGCTCTGAATTTATTTATTTATTTCACGTTCATTTTGAAGTACATTAATTTAAGTAGTAAAAAACCATTTAACACATTAATAATACATCGCGTTATAGATTCATCACATTTTTTGTATAACAGTGCAATAATGTGTAGTGTGGAGTATATAACACAGTATAATTGAAACAGTGATCAAACCTCTTCATTTTAGAATCTCACTAAATAAATAGTTATACGTACCATAAATACGGAAGGCATAAAAAACTTTTATATCTCGGGGAGCTTGTTCGCTGAAAACCGAAAGTAGATCCAAAAAATCCTCAAACGATAAGTTACCTTTACCATCTCTAGAGAATACTTCACATATTCGTTTTTTGAAGGGATTTTCCTAAAAAAAAGACATCACACAAATAATACAGGTCTTATTTTAAGGACGTATCATATGCGGTTGGCATTTTTAAAATAAGTTCTCATTTTAATTATTGAAAATAAAGAAGTATCGGTCTTTGTAGAAAGTAATTTCAGAGTTTTAGAATTGTATCATATGTGTGGTTTAAAATAATTAGGAGAGGTAATTAAATGTTATACAGAATATACCTGAATCAAGTTTACAAAAAAGCTTACCAATATTCCTGTTATATACGCTCGCGGACTAATAGTCGTCATATAAGCAGAGTTCACACGCGGTGGATTCTCTTAAGAATTTTAATTGTCTTTGGCGGATTAGCGGGATTTGGAATACGGAAACCAAATTAACTCTCTAATGCATAAGAAGGGTGGGCAAGTTGACATAGCCGGGCAAGACGACACATACCTCCACCACGAAAACTAGTCCCTTATTCGTTCAGTCTTCACGCTCGTTACAATCTACTCCTTCACAGTAATCATACAGTAATCGTTTGATAGCCTTAGGGTGTGGATGCTCCGTACGTTTAAAAAAATATTTACGTTTTTGTGTCATTGTTGCGTGTTGGTCCAATGTAAGTACCATATGTGTCGTTACATATTTATGCCATCGTAGCATTTCTTGTCATGATTTATTTTGGAGATAAAAAGGGTGTTCCTAAGCTTTACCTTAGGATATTGCAACTGCTCTTAGGTTATATTTTAATCGACCATGTTTTCATGTTATGATTACACGCGCTAGCGGCTAAGTTGAGATATAGCTGTGTCATCTTGCCCTCTACAGGACGGATCTATGAAATATTTCTGGGGGAGGGTAAAAAACTCTGGGCCCAACATTTACCCAAAACTCCTTTAAAACAAAATTCTCAACTAATGTTTTGGGTACTTACTATTAATATAGAAGTAAAAACATGGGTATCTGTATATTTTTTTAGTATATTTTTAAGCTCTTACCTATAGTATTTTTATCAAGTTTTTTCTATTTATTTAAATTATAGTGGGACCTGTCCGGGGGGAGTAATTATCCCCATTTCTCCCCCCGTCCCCCCATAGATCCGCCCTTGGCCTTCATGACATAAAATTTGCAACTGCTGTTTTTATTTACAGATGGTTTCCAATTATAAAAGAAAAACCAATAGAGGCGCATGGAATGAGAAGAACATGGAGCGAGCATTGCAAGCTGTAGCGGAAAAGCGCATGGGTTGGTTAGAGGCTAGCAGGCATTACCAAGTGCCCCAGGCAACACTTCGCCGCCGTGCCATGGATCGAAATAAAATAGCAGTTGGTACAAGAAAGCATCTTAGCAGACATGAAACAACCTTAAATCGAGAACTAGAAGAGGCTCTAGTGGGGCATATGCTAGCACTAGGCTTAACGACCGTAGATGTCCGCATTTTGGCATATGAATTTGCAGTGAGAATGAAGTTAAAACATCAATTCAATAACACGAAAAACATTGCAGGCAGAGGTTGGCTACGCTCTTTTTGACTAAGGCATCCGAATATATCTTTACGTCAGCCACAGGCAACATCAATGGCACGCGCTGAAAGATTTAACAAACCACAAGTAAAGACCTTTTAAAGAAATCGACAAAAGTATGATTTTTAACATGGACGAGTCAGGGTTGACAACTGTACAAAATACTTCTAAAATTTTTGCGCTAAAAGGAAAGAAACAAGTAGGTGTCATCACCAGCGGGGAAAGGGGAGTACATTCAACTGTAGTAGTATAATTTTGCTTACACACAAAAATTAAAATGTATTAAAATCAATAGATCATACTTACAGCACTAGAAGAAAAGTTTATGACCATGTCCAAATTACTAGTGCTTATAAATAAATTGGAAAACACAATTTCAATCAGTTAATTCCTAGAATATTTAACTATTTAGCCGAAATCTACAAAACCTACATAAGAAAAATAAACTCATTCAACATGATTAAATCCATTTTTACAAAATTTCTTAAGAACAACGGATCAGAAATTTAATTTAATTTAATTTAAGAAGTCTGAAAAACCGTTTTATTTTTTTTTGTTCTGTTTAAAAATTTTTCGTAAATAGAGTTTGAAGTACTAAGATTTCAAATTTTATTTACGTTAACAGTATAATTTTTAAAGCTAAGTAAACTAAAATTCTTAGGTAGCCACTAGTCCCTTTTCCCCTAAGGTATGTAATTTTTTTTTTAATTTTGCAAAATATGCTTTGATATTTCTAGTGGGATCTTCTCCTAAATTAATTGTATTTTAAGAGATCCCAAAGTCGACACAATTTTTAACTTAGAATACAATGAACTGCCTTGATAACACTAGTCACTTCCCAATTTTGATCCCTAATTTTATCGGCAAAACTAAGACGAAAATTTTTAAAAGTTAATTTTATTGTGCCAATTGAAGAGTTCTTTCTGATTTTATCGAAATCAACTACAGTTGTCAGAAGATCCAGATTCAACTCTAGACTGTATCCTGGTGCGGTTATGAATGTAAGATAGTATCGAAAAAATAAGATGGTATTAAACAAATATCGTAGAACTAGAAATGAAGCAAACCTGATCCAATTCAAATAACTAAAGGCAAAAGCGCGCCGAGTAACGAAACAAAGAAAAAAAACTTCTGGTATAAATGATTTTTTTATATTATAAGTGTTGAATAATAAGTGTCCTTCCAGTTAAGTTTGGAAAAAGATTAGGGAAACAACCCATCTACCAATACCAGTACTTACTTTGCATAATTGAATAATTACTGAAGACGATCAAATTTCTCACATCAAGCTCACCCTTTTTCATAATAAGAGTAAAAATGTTCCGGTCAATCCGGATATGTCTGTACCTCAAAAAAAAATTGTGATTTTCGGGTTTTTGATGTTTTGTGTGTAAAATTTAATTCTACATCGAGCCATAATAACGTAACTCCTTTAAAAATTATACTTTACAAATTAGCCAAGGTTATAAGAGCGTAAGTCCTTACCCATATCAGAGCCAGACAAACGTAACTCCACATACTACATTATGGCTCTGAGGTTGTGCTTGAAACCTGTAAAACGTACCTAAGTCCTAGCCTTAAAAAAGGCCAGTGCATCTGGATTGGTAACTACAGACCTCAGGGGAAAACATATGCCAGGTAATGTAATACCTATAGATAGACTACAAAGAATCAAAAATCATATTTCAAAGTTCCCTGTATATGAAAGCCACTACAGCAGGGAAAGCCCTTACCTCTTTGACAATAATGTTCAAAATTAATTGAAAAACATTGACTAAATGCTAGTTTTTCATCTATGTTTGTTTATAATAATTATGTTTTTAATAGTAGCACATGAAATTTATTTCTAATCACCTTTTCCTAGTTAAGTAACTCCTATGAGAGATTTTTGTAGAGCCAAAATAACGCAAGTCCAGGAGTAAGTACTACAGTATGGTTTTGTGTGGAGCCACAATAACATAAGTCCACTTTTTACAAAATGGGATATATTTAGTAAAAAAAACTCAAACAATAAATAAGGGATACTTATTTGTTAATAATACAAACAATAGTTTAAAGGTAAATTAAAGTGAGAGCTTTGTAATTAAGCAATTAGGTAACTTTTTTAGTTTTTGCACTCTCCTGAAAAGTTGGCTAAACATGACTTACGTTTGTCTGGTTCTGAGGTACAGATATGTTTATAGTTATATTATTATAATACAACTTGCCAATAAACATAAACCAATATGTTTTAGATTGGCAAAGCAAATTCTATCTGAATACAAAAGGTTACTATACTGAAAGACACGACGAAAGAAATAAATTAAATAACATGCAATTAAATTTAATATTAACTAATTGTAATGGCTGTTTAAATGTTTTTGCATTTCTTTAATTAAGTTATTAATGTCACACACTCGGAAAGTTAAAGGAAAACTACGTGTATGATGATTTTTTGAGAAATATGTGGATATTTTATATTAGGCAAAAGGACTTTCCTACAGAACTTTAAGAATTTAAATTACATATATCTATATTAAACTTTCTCAGCATACGGGCTGATCTGGTAGGAATATATTAAGTAAGTAACACCGAGAACAAGTCTCCATGTCTTGCCGACTGCTCAATACATAAGTCGATCTGATATATCAGCGTTCTAGCGTTGATTGAATATCCGAATATTCGCATATTCAATCAACGGTTCTATAGCCCAGGCTGTGGGAGAAAAAGTATTCTCTAATCCAGTAATTTATGTAATGTGGGTTGGGTTATAAAGGGCAACCTCAGGAGCAATCCCAAAGTTCATTCAACAAAAAATGTTTGGATAGTATTTATTTATGACCGTTTATAAGTGCAAAATAAGTATTTTTTGAGTTTTTTTCATTTTTTGCTTAAAGTAAGTACTGTAATGGGTAATTTCTGTATAGATTATGAAAGTACTCTAAAAGACCTTCAATTTGAGCCGGTATACGTTCAATTTAATTTATTTGTTATTGCAAAAATGACGAATGAAGGTCAATATTAGAAAACGTAATATTTATTGCAAAATTCCTTTTTTATTTATTTCAAATATATGACATTTAAGCCTATAAAATTACAAATCGAATGAGCCGTAGTAGGCCTAGACCACTTAGTTTGTTGCTGAGATACGTTAATTAGTTTATCCCACGTCCTTCAACTTTGAATGCTCATAGAATTGTCAAAAAAAATGGTAGGGGCCTAATTCTTATTTTATTCTGTTCCTAAAGCTGTAAATTTTCATAATCCACTGGAAAATAATGAAAAAAAATTTTAACCCGTTAAAAACAATTATTTATGAAGTTGTTAAATTGCAGTTATAAACATTTAGAGCTGCAGCGCCCCCTATGTACCCTACGAATTTCTAATTTGCAGATTATTGTAGCTGGCTTCGAGACGAAGATTAAAAAAAAGAGTTTTCTACGACCAATAGGAGCAGAGTTAGCATATTTTTTTTAATTACATAGGCTTTATTAATAACAATTAAGAAGCGAATCTGGCGTCATTCACTACTTAAAAACCTATATTTTCAAGTATTTGAATTTTCGTTAAATTAAAATTATTATTTATTGTTAAAAGTGACGAATAAAGTTTACCTTTTTTCAATGTAGCACCGAAACAGTATGTGGCAAACATTGTGGATGCCGTAATCACGGCCTAAAAAATGTGCGAAAATTGTAATGGAGAGAGTTGTGAAAATTGTCATACTGCTGAATATGAACTAGATAACGCAGAAAAAGAATGTGAGAGTGAGATGGATGAAATTGTACAACCTACTAAAAAAAGAAAAATAAATAAAAACTAAGCATACTTCTGATTTTATAAATATTGAATCTCATTTTAAAACCATATAAATAAATTACAATTATGTTACTGTTTATATCTTTGTTTTACTAATTTATTCCTTCTATCAAAGTAATTTGCAATTTAAGATATACGTATATATGATGTTTATTTTAATTTATTAACCCAATTATTTAATTTCTTATGGAATTGTACTAAAAATCCAGTTTAACCAAGAGTTTTTAAAATCAATTTTTTTGAGTTTTTTTTTTGGAAAATAGATTGTGTTTAAATGGAAATTTTAATCATTTGAACTTTACTTAAACATAATTTTTCACTGATAAAAGATTACACAGCGGGGCAGAGTAAGTATTTAAAAAAAAGATAAATACTGAAATAATAGTATTAATAGTAGTAATGATAGTAAATATTTTGGAATTTTAATTTTTTTTTAGAAATGGGGATGTTCTCAATAATAATTTGGTAGTAGATTACGTTTAATAGTATTGTAAAAGTAAAAGAATTGAAAAAAAAAAATTGAATATTAAAAAAAATTTTTGGGGGTTTGAAGGTAGTTTTTTAAGGGTGAAAGTATTCCAGATGTTATTATTTCGACGAGCTACCAGAGTTACCCCAGATTAAAAAAATTCATCGAAATCAGTTCATTTTTCACAGAGATATTGCAAATTTTTCCGATTTGGTTTTTTTCTCGTTGCGCGAGAAGTCATCCCCACCACTACTTCTGTGCTATCGCTTGAAAAAAGGTATATTTTATTCGTCATTTTTAAAAATAAATAATGATTTTAATTTAAGGAGAATACAAATACTTGGTTTTTAAGTATTGAATAACACCAGATTCGTTTCTTAATTGTTATTAATAAAGCCTCTGTGATTTTTAAAAAAATTATGCTAACCTGGCTCCTATTGGTCGTAGAAAACTCTTTTTTTTTCCTTCGACTCGAAGCCAGCTACAATAACTGCAGCTCTAAAGTTTATAACTGCAATTTTACAACTTCATAAATAATTGTTTTTAACAGGATAAAAAAATTTATTATGTAAATTTATATATAAACAGGAATATGTAAATTTGCGGCTTTAGGAAGAGAATTAAATAAGAATTAGCCCTCTTCTTTTTTTTTTTGGTAATTCTATGAGCATTCAAAGTTGAAGGTCATGGGATAAACTAATTAACGTATCTTAGCAACAAATTAAGCGATCTAGGCCTACTACGGCTCATTCGGTTCGTAATATATTTGAAATAAAAAAAATTATTTTGCAATAAATATTACGTTTTTTATTTTTGGCCTTCATTCGTCATTTTTGCAATAACAAATAAATTAAATTGAACATATACCGGCTCAAATTGAAGGTCTTTTAGAGTACTTTCATAATCTATACAAATTACCCATTACAACAATTACAGTGTAAAATCACCCTTTTTCCCCACAGCCTGGGCTACTAGTCTATAATATAGATTTTATACTACTACGTTAGACTTTTTGTTTTATAGCCTGCTTGGCTCTCATACCAAAAGGAAATTAAATTACATTATATTTTAAGGACATTGTGCTGGTACCATAGAAATATGTTTTAATTTAAATGCATATATCATTCAAATTTTGTCTTACGTGCAATTCTGGAATTTTTTCTATGCTGTCTTCTAATGGAATTCTTGCGTTAATAGCCTCGTTTTTTCGCATTTGTTTTGGAATTAGATCTGGACGTACTTCTCGAAATGTTTTAAATACTCTGAAAAAAAAATGTTTTTAAAAGTTTCATATAGATACATAGTTGCAAAATTGTTTCACGAAAATGATTCACTCAAACTAAATTATAAAATTGACGTTTATTGAAAAATAGCGACATAATTATATAAAAACCAGAATCAAGCAAAATGGGTAATGCGTAAATCATACATAAAATGTATAAAACTAATAAAAAAAATGAAAAACTTAACTATATAAACTTTTTGTTACCCTATATTGCAATTATTTGTTTAGGCATACATCGAGTAATGTTTAAGGTAGGTAGGATCAATATATTTTTCTTGGAACAGATCACGTAGTTGTGCCATGATGTTCAGATAAATAAGATTAGTGTCATTGCTCTTATGATTGATTCCACATATGTTATATCAAATGCAAGACTTATCTTATGCGAGCGTTTAATTTCGATTTTCTTTAACTCTTACGTACTAACGCCCCATCCCTCAGAAAAAATTTTGAAGGTCCCCTGCTTATGACTTTTCAAGTTTTGTTATTTTTTATTAGTAATGAGATCGGCAGTTTGATGCAGGTTGTTATTCCAAAGATATTTAGATTCAAAGTGTGATTTCCGTCTAATAGACGGGTTGTTAGTGTCCATATTTATTTACTATTTACCTGAAAATGGATGGAGGACCCAGTATGTCAAAAAAGGTCAAATATGGGGATAAAAACTATGAGGAAACTCTTTTGAAATGGCTTGATGAGGTAGATGACGACATAAGCGAAGTTGAATCAATTTGTGATGGAAATGTTGCTATTGACAGCGATCACGAAACGGAATCAGAAGTAGAGGGTAAGTCTCTAGTTCCTAAGGTAAGTCTCTTGGAATTATTATATATGTTTTGAACTAAAGTTTGGTGTTACTGTAGTATGCGATCTACCTCAAGGGTGCAATCTACCTGGTGCACCAAATAATGAGATACAAGAAGAATCTTGTAGAAAAAGTTATTTATTGACAAGTAATAAACATTTGAAAAAAAATCAATGTAAAATAAAATGAAAGTAAATCTACCATGCCATGTTATTTGAAAAGATGGGTTCATATTTGTGCATACCCTGGGAAAAATTGTTATGGGTGTTATTTGCATATAAGTAAAGAAACTAAATTTGCATAGTTTATGTTATATTTCTAAAAAATAGTAGTATAAATGTTTATTGTACTTAGCAATAAACAGTTCGTCTACAAAGGTGCCTTTCATTATTGTTTGCAAACCATTCTGAGTAAAGAATATGGTGGTTAGCAAATGTATACAATACCAACAAAAACAATCTTTACAAAGTGAATAAAATGCATAATGTAGAAGAATTATTTATTGAGTGTATTGATTTGTAAAATTAAAATAGAAATTCTTATGATTTATGCGTTTTATTCACTTTGTAAAGATTTTTTTGTCGAATACAGCGTATCCACCGCATCCCTGGGTTGCAGTAAAATATAGTAGAAACACGACGGTAGACCGCATAGTATAGCATTACCTGAAGTTCTCTTTTTAGTTTCAGAAAATAAAAATGAGGTTGAACAGGTTAATAGAGAAGATAATATCCAAAGCAGTGAAGAAGACGATCCAGCGGAGACAAGGAAGTATTTATATGGTAGAAATAGATACAAATGGTCAAAAAATCCTCCCACTTCAAATAGAGGTCGGCGTCCACAGAAGAATATAGTTTTACAGTGACCTGGATTACGCCCTGCCGCTGAAAGTGCAGGTTTGGGAGTTTATTTTTTATTATTATTTAGTGATAATATTTGCAACGTAATTCTTAGATGGACGAATGTGAAAATCGGCAAAGAAAGAGCCAAGTACAAAAATCAAAATTCGCCTTCTCTCAAAGACCTTGACATGACAGAACTTCACGCATTTTTATTATTTTTAGCATTTACATGCTTATTTAAATCAAACAACGAAAATTTATATATTATTTTTGCTACTAATGGAACTGGTAGATAAATAATGAGATGCATTATGTCAAAAGAGAGATGTGCGTTCCGTTTGTCATGTTTGCGATTTGACAATCTCAAAGACAGAAATGAGAAAACAGTGTTGGATCCAGCAGCACCGATTTCAGAAATGTTTACTATAGGAACTTCAGCTTGTATTGATTAAATGCTAGTGGGATTCAGAGGTCGATGTCGCTTCAAAATGTACATACCGAGTAAGCCCGTAAAGTATGCTATAAAAATTATCTGTTGTACTTATACTCAAACTAGCTACTTATTTAATTCTTATATATATACGGGAAAAAATCTGACGGTACTGGACGTACAGAGGAACAGAAAAGATACAGTGAGCCGACACAGGCTGTTATGCGCATAACTACTCCTCTCTATGACACCAACAGATCTATAACCCTTGACAACTGGTTTAGATCTACAGAGTTGGTAGAGGTATTGAGAAGTAAAGGTCTAACTTGCATTGGAAAAAAATTCCTCCTATCTTCTTACCCACCAGACAACGATAAGTAGGAAGGGCAATTTACGGTTTTAGAAAACACGTTAGTTTATTTTCAGACACAACACATAAAAATAAAGCCGTAATTTTGGTATCATCATCTCATCAAACAGCTACTGAGGATACAGACACTAAAAAACCACACATAATAGTGGATTATAATTCAACAAAGGGTGGTGTCGATTCAATGGATGAAAAATGTGCTAAATTTACAAGCAGTCGTCGAACTCGCCATTGGTCTATGGCTATATTTTTCAGAAGTAAGTACAGTAAATGCTTATATTCTTTTGGAGTCTTTTAAAAATAATACTCATTAAGAAAGGCCTAATTTGCTTGAAAAACTGGCATTTCAACTTATCCAACCTCAGCTAAATAGAAGACTAGAAAGTTACTCTTTACCTAGAAAACTAAAGTTGAGCATATGCGAGATACTGGGTATAGATGAACCTCAACGGCGTCCAGAAGTAAGAGTGGAAAAATTAGAAAAAAGAAAGGACTGTTCTTACTGTCACTATAAAAAGAAAAGAAGAACAGCTTATGTATGCTTTCATTGTCAAAAACCAATTTGCTCGGAATGTGCGAAAAAGATAATAATTAATTAATTCTAATACTCCATCAGTTTATGTATTTGTTCTTTAATTATCTAGATATTTATTTAAATTAAATATGTAATGTAAATGCCAAATAAAATATTAAATTCGTTAAGCCGGCCCTTTTTACTATTTACCTGAAGAGGCAAATCCCTTTATGGCTTCAACTTTATCAGCGAGATACTTTTAAATTCTGCATAAGTCAGTTCTTATAATGTGAATGAACTTTACCTAAAATACAAATCTTTTTCAAATTCTATTAGGAATAGATAAGTAATACTTTAAGAAATATGCTGTAAGATAATATCTAGTAATATCTAAAATATTAGAATATGAGATACACAGTTCTCATAACTACTGCCCTCTAATATCTCTCATAGTCAAAGAAAGCCAACTTAGTTAGTTGTCATATCCAAATAAGAATCTTATAGTGGTAAGTAGTATTTTGGAGTAATTAGTAAAGGAAATCTGCAATAAACTAAGATAAACAATTCTCCTCGTTTAAATTTATCAACCATCTAAATGTAATCTAATGTAAATAGTTCTGCAAGATGTTGAATTAATATAGCCCTTATTAAATTTTTGTAAATAGGGGTTTCTTTTTATTTATAAATGAGATTTTTTTAATCAAGTGCAGTTACAACAACAATATAGCTTTTGAATGTTTAGGGATCAAGATATTAAACATATATGATTATATAAAAAAAGTTACAAAAATGAATCTCAATTGTTTCCTTAATTAACACATACCTTAATATTTCTTTTCTGGTAAAGAAAGTACAATCCTATAAAAAACACATATTTGTTACAAAAATGTGTACAATGAATCACATAACTTATTTTACCTGATAATTTTCCAACTGTTGTTCTGTAAAAGTTACCAACTTATTCCCCATTGTGGTTCATGACGATTAAATGATTTTGCCTTGAGCTCTTACTACCACACACTGCCCTACCTAACTAGTCGTGACCCTCTAGTTTCCATAGAAATTAAGGTGTGTCCATGGTAATTATACAAATATATATTGATCGTATGTGGATAATGTTTATTCTCTAATGGAGTGTGTTAAATGGTATTCTTTTATAAATTTTAGACTATCGTTTTAGAACAATACAGGTAATTAAAAGAACATGCATATCGATGGCCTGGTTCCAAAAGTAGCTAACTACAAAATCGTCGTTTTTGATTAAACGAAATTTTAAGTTAAACCCTGTCGATCAAATCAGGTCTCTCAAATCGAATTATTGTGTCTCTATAAAATATTAAGTAGTAATACTGACAAATACTTTAGATATAAGAATAATAAATAGTTCTTTAAATAATTAGTCTGGGGGGGATTTTTCGTAATAAAATGCACGTAGCTACATTTGGAGTGTGTAAACTCTTAAAGAAAGATAGACCACAATTTAAAAACAGCAACGAAACACAAAATATACATATTTTAAGTTCGCCCATACCAATAACAACAAAAGAAGTTGAAGATGTATGTAGATCTCTAAAAAATAACAAAGCACCGGGTCCAGGTAATATCCCTGCAGAGTTAATTAAACACGGTACAACCAAACTATATACAAGTTTAGCCAAACTAAACATGCAGTTCCAAAACTGCATTAATGGAATGACAACCCCAAAGGAGTAGTAGACATCATTCAGATCCACTATACACAAAAAAGGCAGAAGGAATTCTTCTTCTTGATTTGCCTATCAGTTACGAATGTTGGCGATGATCATGGCAATCTTCATGCAGATCATCGCTTCAGGCGATCATCATGGCAGATTTTGTATTGAACCAGATTCTGAGGTTCTTTTACTAAGATGTTCTTCTTCTTTATTTATATTATGCGATTAATTTCGCATAATATGTCCGGAGAATTGTAACTTTCGAGATTTAATGGTGGTCAGTACCTCTCGGTTCTTATTCATTCTTCTGAGGACCTCCTCATTTGTGACTCGGGAACTTAAGTATTCTTCGATATAGCCACATCTCAAATGCTTTCAATTTTTTGCACATATCTTTGTTCAAGGTTCACGATTAACACCATAAAAACGGACAGAAAAGACGTAGCATCGCAGCATTCTTCAGAGAGCTTGTAGATTCTCTTATGAATTATCTTTAGGAACAATTTTAGGAGATGACTCATGAGGCTTATAGTACGGTAATCTTCGCATCTTTTGTCTCCTGGTTTTTTTGGAAGTGCAATAAACTCAGATTTTAGCCATTTTGTTGGTATTTCCCCAGAGTTGTATGTGTTGTTGAATATCTTTGCGATTATTGCTATTAATTCGTTGTCCATTAGTTTGAGTAGTTCTGCTTGCATATTATCAGGGCCTGCCGCTTTCCCATCATTTAACTGTGTTATTGCGGAATAAACTTCCTGCTGTAATATTCTTGGTCCATCATTTACCTCTTCTTCTAGCTCAAAGGTGTTATCTCTTTGGTCTTTAAATAGTTTTTCTAGATATTCTTTCCACGTGCTTATTTTACTCTGTTTGTCTAAGATGATGTTTCGGTCAGGATGAGATTTCGGAGCATTTATTTTGCATTACACAGATTATTGAAAAGAAAATAGCCGTTAAGCAAGAAGTACATTTATTGTATGTAGGCCTACGAAAGGCTTATGATAGCGTACCACATTTTAAATTATGTGAAGCGTTAGAGAAAACAAACATAAGCATGAATTTAATAAATTCGACGAAGGGACTGTCTGATTCAAAAATAAAGCTTGGATATAATCTGTCGAGAAGATTCCAAATGAATAAAGGCCTTAAGCAAGGCTGCTGTCTCTCCCCGACATTATTTAAAATTTATCTAGAACAGGCTCTAAAACTGTGGAGGCGCAAATGTAGAAATATGGGAATGCCGATTAACAACAATAGCATATACACTTTGTCATTTGCAGATGATCAACTAGTGATAGCACAAGATTATTAAGATATTGAGTATATGACTCGAAAATTAATCGAGGAGTATAAAAAATGGGGACTTGAAATCAATATTTAATATTGGACCAAAGGAAACAACAGGACCTCATATTGGAAGATGGATAAGTTATCAAACATTGCAATACAAATAAATATTTAGGTATGATCATCACAAAAGAAGGCAAGGTAGACGACACAATTGAGGAGAAAACAACCAAATAAGAAAAGCAATTTCCCTTCTCAATAGTATCCATTGGGATCAATTAATCTTTAATAATAACAAACACAAGATATATAATACAATCATTAAAAGTATAATTACCTACAGTAGTGAAGTATGGCAAATAAAGGAAAGATACAAGAGAAAACTTGAGGCAACAGAAATGGATTTCTGGAGACGTTCAGCTGGAAAATCTAGACTAGAAAGAGTAACGAACAACAGAATAAGAGAAATTATGAAAGTAAAACATACAATGGAAGACGATATTGGTACCCAACAACTCAGATGGTACGGTCATGTACAGAGAATGTCGGAAGAACGTCTCCCAAAACAAGTCTTAATGTGGACCCCTCACGGTAGAAAAAAAAGTGGGGAAGACCCCGCCTTAGTTGAAGAAAAGGCATCAATAGAGAAATGAAAGACAGAGACATAGAAGAAGACTTATGGATGAATCGAGAGGCGTGGCAACTGGGTATCGGAAGTGTTAGGAGAACGTTTTAAACCGATCTATATATAGCTACATTTGGAACTTAACTTTATTTTAAATTGAAAAATGAATACTGCTTATCTACAATATTACAATTACAGTAAAATTTATAAAAACAAGTAATAAATAAACAACGGTGTAAACTTCTTGTAAAATAAATATTTAAAAAAAAATCTTGCTCTTCCTGGTCCTTTATATCGGGTAATACCGTCTCGTTCTCAATATTTAGATCTCCAATTAAGTCTCTATAAATAGCTCTGCAATCGTCGGGAAAATTTGCGGCACTAACGATTTCTTTTAAGTTTTGAAGGTTTGCAGCCGATATTTTTCTTTTTCCTTTAAACAAAGGCTTTAAACAGTTTTCCATGGTGGGCGTAACTCTTCGACCTCTACGGGGAACAATCAATATTTTGTGAAATACGTCTTCATCTAAATAGGTTTTAACGAGCATCACAAAAGGATTACCTTTTTTATAACGAATGCACTTAATGTCACACCAATAATTAATCACAGTTCAATAAGGTAAGGTCAGGTGTTGTATAAACTTCATATTTTGGAGCATTTTGTTTTGCATTCTTTACAATAGTTACCCATTTATGCGGCTAATATACTGAGATATTTTTGGATTACATATATGCACGTACTACGTATATTACATTTGACTGTGACCATAGATAAGCAATTTTTGATCGATTACTTCAATAGGTAAAGCCTGAACAGCATACAGAAACATGGCAGCTACAAACTGATTTTTGTTCTGACCATCGCAAGTGTCACTGAATAGTCTATAACACTTTTAAATGTTTGGTGGAGGTTCCTAAGATGGTGAAACAAGCGATACGCTACTTCTGAGGGCACACGTCCATACTCAACCTCAGTCCACATGAAAAATTTACCAGTATTATTTTCAGTATTGAAAATCATAAAATTATAAGTAGCAAGTTTCGTTTTATAAAATAGAACCGGATTTGTCAGATCTGTTGGAAACAGATAAAAGATAAGTTTCAGTCAATTAATAGCCTTTTTCAAAAATTGTGTAAGGTTTTTAACATAAAATGTGCAAAAGCAACTTTTTCAAATGGCGTCATTTTTGGGTGGTGCAATCAAAATTATCAGAATGTGACACATGACAATCTACAAAAAAAAACTGAAAACTTTAATTAGAGAAAAAGTTGTTCGAGTAGTGGAATTAGAAGGACTCTGTGAAACTGTCAAATGCCATGTGAATTCGTTATTATGTATGATTAATAAATGTCCAACTTGTAAGGATAAAAAAATGGTTAGCCAGAATGTATATTCATCCAAGCTAGTTACATGGTTTGCTTGGAAAACCAAAAGAAATGTAATAGAAAAATAGGAAAAACATTACAATTTTTAAAGACAGTAAAAGTTAAAGAAGAGGAAAACTTATTCGATTTAATTGAAGGTTTTAACAAAGAATTTAACTAACAATTCTGTCCACACGTATTTCGAATTAGGCATCAATTTAACCAGTTCAAAAAATATAAATAAGAATTGTCTTACGATGAAGTTGCCGTCAACATTGATTTTTCAGAAAATTACTTATGTAAAAGGGTAAAGAAATTCAAGCTATGAATTTTGGTGCCCCTCATAATCAAGCTATCTTGCACACAGTAGTCGTCTATCGAGAAAATGGAGAGCACCAGTCTTACTGTACAGTATCTGATTCGAGAAGACATGATCCGTCAGCAGTGTGGGCCACAAACTGATGCCAATTTTATTAGAACTTAGAACAGAAAATATTAATGTTGTTCATTACTTTAGTGATGGACCAATCTAGCAATATAAAAACAAAGACTTTTTTTTTTCTTTAATTCTCGAGTATTCAGGTGTGGTACTTGGAAGTTTTTAGAAGCTGCCCATGGAAAAGAAGCGCCAGGTGGAATCGGTGCTGTTGTAAAAAGGACTGCAGATAATCTTGTTGCTAGGGTATACGGTGTGGGAAATGCTAAGGCTTTCTTTCAACCGGTACAAGACCAAACTTCTTCTTCTTCTTCTTCTAATGGCGCTACAACCCTTTGTGAGTCTTGGCCTGCTTAACAATGTTCTTCCAATCTGCACTGTCGGAAACTTTCCTTCGCCACTACCTGATGTTCATGGTTTTAAGACCCCTCTCTACGTCGTCTATCGATCTTTTACGGGGCCTTCATCTTGTTCTGTTTCCTTGGGGCTTCCATCTCTGGACTACTTTTACAGCTCGATTATCTGGCATTTTTTCTAGCTGACCAAGCCAGTTTAGTATTTGTGACTTTACAAATCTAACAATATCTGCGCTCTGCATTAGTTCATCCAGCTCGTGGTTCATTTTAATTCTCCACGAACCATCGCTGCATTAGGTTGGTCCAAATATCTCCCTTAGTATTTTGCGCTCAAATATTCTCAGTACAATACCAAACTAAAACCATAAAAATGTTTTTTATTACTGAGGATGACATAACATCTATAGAACACGAAAAATCTCTCAATCAAATAATGAAAATTCTAGGAATAATGAAAGTCCATCAAGTTTTGTCAGTTGGTCATAAATAAAATCTCTGCATTCGAGAATATTCATGTTTTTGCAAAAAATTGCCGGTTTTGGATTTAATTTGTTTTAACTGCAAAAAAGTTTAAGTTTTTGAGTCGAATACGCTACCAATAGAAAATGAAGAGGAAGCAACTATTGGAGAGGCAAACCATAAAAAAACTACAGCTGAGCTTTTTGACTGGGAAGATGATATTCCACTATTGTCAATAAGAGACCTAATCAAGTACCTGACCGTAAGGAAATTTGTTGTTTGCAGATTCACTTATGATGAAGGAACAAAACATGAAACCAAAAAACATTTCGTTAGTGTTATTCTCGAGGTCAATGATGACACTTCCTATTTTATAAGCTGTTTGAAGAAAAAAGGAAATGAATTTGTTTTTACTAATAGACAAGATTGAAGATAAGAATGTTGTTATATTTGAAAATATTATTTGTGTTTTACCCATCGAGCAAAAAGATAAATGAGGGAATGTAAAGGTAGTGGGGGCAAACATATTGTTAGACAGGAAGTGCGATCTTTAGAGGCCACATTAAACAAGGACAGAGAGTCTCTCTCCTTGTTTGACATCAAATTTAGTTGGGTTATGTTATTGTTTGTCCCAAATGTCACATGAAATCTTATTTATATTGAAGTTTTTTAACAATTGTGTTGCATTTTAGACTCTTATTATTAATAATTAATTAAAACTTTCTCGTCTAAGACACATTCTGAAAAATATTATATAGCTTCTGTTAATAAGTGTCGGAAAATTTAAATTTGGCGCATTCGCATTTCCGGATATGTCCGCCATCAGAGGCCACTTTTTTGGTCTCCTTTTCATAAGGATTAGATTCCCTCTTTTGTCTTATTGCTCGATGGTTTTACCACAAGCTCATATTAGGCGGGGACGTTGCAGTTTTGGGGAAACACTTCCGGAAAACATACAGCTTTTTTAATGTTTCCACAAAATTTGTCATTTATGTTACTTTAGCTCACTTATGTTACCACTTTTCAAAATCAGTATTTTTCATAGATTTACAAGTCCATTTTTAATTGGGAACGTATTTGTTTTTAGAGATAAATTATAACCATATATTTTTTAGTAGTTTTACGTTTATTTAGTGTGCGTTTTTATTTATTTAATCAGTAGCATATATGACTGTCATTTAGCATATATGTCAAAACAAACACAAATTATTAGAAAACCTTACTGCTAATACTAGAGTTGTGGTCTCCTATTAAATTACTTTTGTCTATCACCAAATTTAACAAGAAAGAAAAAACAATTTCTTTCTGTTTTTCTAGTTACATTTCAAGTTATCTTGGAATTACCCACCCAATGTTTCGAGCAGTTGAAGCTAAATTAACATAGAAACATCACAATTAGGCCTATCACTACTTGTACCTTCACCAAAATAACCATCAACACCACCAAAAGTGTCTCTAAAAGTAAAATGAAATAAAATATATCAGTCTTACAAAAAATGAGAACTTTTATTTAAAAATTTAGACTTAGCTCTTTAAAATAGTTTGCACAACTGTTTTACTTGCTTTTTTGTACAGCGTAGTTTTCCCTCTAGTAGAAATGGCTGTGGGATTTTTTGGGGGTAAACAAGATTGTGGAGGATTTTATAGGGGGTCATGTTCAATTAAATTTGGGAATGTACATAGAACTGTATATTATTCTACTCTCATATAATCCAAGATGATGGAATCTATGAATTATTTTAGCACCAATTATTTTAGAATCATTTAAAATTCAAATGTCCGCGGATCTTTACGATTCACAAAAAACAAAACAAAAATTTCATTTCGATCCAAGTCTAAGGTCCAAGTAATTTCCCTGTAGGTTAGCAATAGCGAAGAAAATCTTCATTCCATAACCATAGCGGCATTAGAAAACAAATTTACATTTAAAAATCGATTTTCGGCCACCTCCGTGGACAGTTGTTTCGCTCCCATACACGAACAACAAACAAAGTAACAAAGGTCCCTGTGTCCTAAAATGACATTGACATCATATTGACATTTCACTTTTGACCATAATCAATGGTTTATTATTCTGTGGTATCGGTGTCGTTTTTTAGCTGTGTTAGGGACATTTCAACTTTTCAGGTTGATTTTATGGAACTTTTGGTTGAGTTCACCAATAGTACAAGCTGATCATAGCCGCAAATGTCAAACATGGAACAAATAATTTCGGTATAGCGGTGTTGCTATGTTTTTATACTGTAGATATGCTGTAGATGCTGTATGCTTCAAATATAGCATAAAGCATTAGAAAAGTACATTTTGTTTATATTATGTTAAACGCTTTGCAATTTTTGATTTATATAAAACAACAATGAGTAAATATTTGTTTCTTTAAAGATTAATTGCAGTTAATTATTAAAAATTTGTTTAGCAATTACCCTTTGGTAGATTAGGGCAGATAGATAGATTTGGCAGTCGTCAAATCAGTAGTTGCCAGATTACAACAGATGTTTGCAATTAATCTCGAAAGAGACAAATATCTACTCGTTACTGCTCATATAAATTAAAAATTGCAGAATTCATAAAATAGTATAATCAAAATGTACTTTTTAAAAGCTTTATCTCTTTATATTTGAAACATACAATAGATGCATTATAAAAACATGCCAACACTGCTAAGCCGAAATATTTTTGACATTTGCGGCTATATTCAGCTTGTACTTTCGGTAAACTCAACCCTCTGAATCATTGTTTTAGTATAAATAGTATAAATAAATAAAAAATTATAGTACAATGTGTTCCAATATAGAGTCTTTTCAAATTTTGATTATATGACAAAATTTTAAGTTTGGGGGATTTGAGCTTAAATTTGGGGGAATTTCAGTTTCCAAGTGGGGGATTTAGAAAATCGCTTCTGGCAACTCTGTTTATTTTCTGCTTTTATTTGTATCATGGCCTCTATATTCTATGCGTCTATTATATTCTTTGGTTGGTATAATGTTATGTACTATATGAGTCTAGCTAACTTCGCATGTTAGTAAATATTGATGTTTTTGCATCTATGTAACTCGAAAATGTAAGATGTATACTTTGTTAAACTAGCTTAGAGTATATTTGCATAGGTACTTCAAAAAATTTAATAGTCTAAAATTATAACAAAAATTGATCCTAATTACTTCACTGTGAAGTGTGTTTAACAGCTACTTCAAGAAAAATATTTCCAGATCATCAGTTACTGAAATAGTTTGTATTTGTATATTTGCACCTTTCAACGTACAGATCAAAGAAAAGAACAAAACCAAAATGTTTAAATCATGACAAAGGCCCAACAGACCCTAATATGCCCAAGAAGAATATGATAGCAAAGATATGTCCAACCTGCAAACAACAGGTAAAATAACATGTTATCAAATATTATGTTAGTATTTTATACCATTTTAGGTACCTGTGGCATGTAAGTCTTGTCCCTGTGGCCATTTTTTCTACAATGCTAGACGCATAGCTAGAGAGTTTGCCATAGAGGCAGACTATAGGAGGAGAACTGCTAGAGTTCGGAGAGAAAAACCTAATTATTATGATGCCCTTGAATATGAAAAGCATATCAAAAAGGTGAGGAATATATTATTTCGTGTAATAATGTTTCTCTGCTTCAATTAGAACCATTTCATGTTTTTCCTTATTTAAACACTGGATAACCAGTATGGTTATACTCCATGATTACCAGAGGAAGCATTATAATTATAATAATTTTTAATATAATTCTGTTACATAAGGTAATAATGTAATTTTAATATTTTAAGAATTGTTATCTGAATCTTTGTTTTGGATATTAAATGCTATTAATATTGTTGTATACCCTAAGGGGGTTAAGTTAAAAAATAAGCTTGGCAAATTCCGTTTTCAAATTTTGAGGTTTCAAAAAGTACTGCTGTCACATCTGACACATACAATTTATAAATGATTCTTGTATCCTTCACACATTTGTAGTATTCCATTTTTATTTAGTGGGTTTTTTACAATTGTGCATGTTAAATTTAGATGTTGTGTGTGCTAAGTGTTTACTTTGAAATTGGTATTAGTATTTTATATTTTTTACTTTACTGTTAGTTCTGGAAGTATATTGTTTCCTAAAGTGCTGTGCATAACTTAATTTAAATTCTGATATGATATGATCATGTCATGTAAGATCCATGACTCTTGTGCCCTTCCTACATTTGTAGGATTCCATTTGTATTTAGCAGGTGTATGTATTTAGTCTGACATTTATGTTAATATTTTATCTTGTACTTTGCCTTAGTTTAAAGATATAAATGATAATGTTTAAACTTGGGCAACATACTACTACATAATACTGAATATATTAATAATATATGAATCCATATTTATATAGGTATACAGAGAGAAATATACTTTATTAATACTAAGCATCAAAAGGCCATTGACTGAAGTCTTTCAGCAAATTTACAGAATTATTATGGATACATTAATTATTTTTTAAGACTAAATATAGACACTAAAGGAAATTTGTTTATTAGGCTCACAAATGGGCCCTGTCCCAATCTACCATAACCATAAGTTGTTTATTGTCTTGATATGTAGAGGATTTCTTCAATTAGAGTTCTCTCTGGATATTAACAGTGAGTGTTTCCAAGTATCTTCATAATGTGAGGCTCAATCAATTGGATGTTTTTACTTTATTAGAGAAATATTTAAACAAGTTATTGAGTATTTCATTAGAGATTCTATTCCAGTTTTATTGTGTTTATGGATTATGAAATGGATTTTCATAGTTCAAAAGTAAGCATTCTATGTATATAAATAAAAAGTACTATTTGATTAATTTTTTTTTTTCGAAATTAGTCAAGTGGATTAAAAAAGTATAAAAAAATGAATTCATACTTTTTGAATATTTTAAAGATTCAGCAAAGATGATGTTTTAAATAAATTCACGAAATATATTATTAAACAAATGAAGGACTTTATATGTAAAGTATTACTGTTCAATATAATGAATTAAAACTGATTACAAATGTGCAGAAATATCATTAGGGAAAGAAACTTTATGCTTTATGACCTAGTCTGCTCCTTAGAGATCCTTGGTTTCTAAGCAACTCTCTTAGAGAGGGGTGATGGTATTCTCCCAAAGTCTCTTTTTATCCTCTGGTGTTGCCGATTTGGTTTTCTTGGGATTTGCTATGGTCCATGTCCAAAAACCGTTCTATTATGATGGTGTATCCATGTATATAGCTGTCAGGAAATCTTCATGAGATAACCTAACAGCCATCAATTGCTATAGTTAGTTTCACATAAACATGCTATCCAGGGTTCACGGTGAGGAGGCGAACTAGTTTACAGCACTCGCCATTTTCATTTACATCTTTATGGGAGTAAAATCATAATGTCATCTCATTTAGTGAAAATTAGTGGTGACATCAGCACCAACCTGCCTTAATTTTAAGTAATGCATAGCTTACACTAAATATGATTTTTATGAAAGCACTATTAGGTTATAAAAGGAAAAATTGAAGGAGTCGCTATTCAATTAAAAAAATTAATACAGGGTGACTTGCATTTACAAACTTATAAGTATAAATAAAACTATTAGTTTTTAATTCTCACTTTACTATTAATTTAGTTTTTTAATTTCTTGCAAAAATTAATGTTTAGTATGATAACTAAATGTACTATTTTTATAAATTTTAGATGAAACAACGTTTAAGTGAATGTGATAATGATGAAGAAGAAGATAACAGAAAGGATAATTGTAAGAGTAAGAAGAAAAAAATGAAAAAGGAAGATGAAGAAGAAGATGAAGTACTGACCAAAATCACACCTGAATTACAAAAACATTGTCAGTTTATTCTGGAACAACTCAATTTTAAGCTACAAATGGTTACTTGGAAGCCTACATGACTTTGTTTTTGATAGCCAGTGAGTTGTTAAATCCAAAACACTTCCGTATCTGGTTTATTATAAACACAATTGATTGTCAAACTTAATGATGTTTATTATGTACAAAAAATTGAATATGTTTTTTGAATATATGATTTTGAAGTCATTTTTTATATATATATTTATTATAAACACAATTGATTGTGAAACTTAATAATGTTTATGTACAAAAAATTGAATATGTTTTTTGAATATATGATTTAGAAGTCATTTTTTATATCATGTAAATCTATTATCCAGAAATTGATAACTAGAAACTGAACCAAAAAAGAACATGTTTGATTGCTAGTTCCCTAAATACTTGTGGCGCTGGTCAATGGGAAGAGCAAAATGTTAGAGATTGAAAATTTTTATAGAATTACATATCCTACTTTAATGTAGTTGACACAATTTTATTGTAAAACCAAATATGTTTCATTGTGTGTGTGTGTGTGTGTGTGTGCGCGCGCGTGTGCATGTTTTTTTTGGGTTGGAAATACTTTTATTTATCATGATATGCATTATGATAGATGTAATGACTGACTAAATACAATACCGACTAAAAGCTGTCCCCTTCTGCCTCTGTTTTTCCCCACGGTACTACCGTAAGGTATTACTTCATGGGGGCGGATCTAGCTATTGCTTTTCCTTCATGTTGTTGAAGTCATTGCTTCTTTCCTTCTAAGCGTCTGTATTTTCAACTCGTCTCCTTTCAATGCGGCGAAGATTCTACAGGTCTTCCATCGCGAATATGCTGATTGCATCCCAAGTTGCCTTCAATGAAAGCATTTCTTCTACTATGGTGTCTGTTTGATAATTGCCTCTAGAGGCATATATTTATTGAAGCATTACAATATTAATAATTAATTTAAAATGACTACAAAAATTGACTGCGTTGAAGTAACAGCTAAGAGTGGCTTTGATTTTCCTGTGAACATATATTGCTGTTTTCGGTTGTTGATTGCTTGGTAAGCTGAAAATTTTTCGTTTTTGAAGGTTCTTGGATTAGTGCTATTGTATCCTCCATCAAGGCGGCGATAGTGTCGCCTTTGCCACCTTTTTGTGTCGGAGGTTGCATTGAATAATAGTAACTTTATTTTTTCCGACATCCTTGCCCATGGCTTAGGTATCGTTCCAGTCCTTTTAGGTTTCTATTTCCTCCTCGGTTGAGGAGGGGGCAGACTTAGTCGTTTCGCAGCCGAGTTCGTCGACCATCATCTGATGGTCTTCTCCATGTTGTGGGACTAGGGGTATCTCAGTCTCAGCAACCGTCGTCGGATGCTGAATGTCTGAGGTTCCTGGTTCCAAGGAGGTATCCTTCACTATGTTGGTGCTTGATTTTAGAGTCAATGAGATGAACGTGTAACTCAGTCTCATTGCCCTTTTCCTAAGGACAGCTATGTCATCGTCTCAGATTCCGAAAAGGTGTGGAAGGTACATCATCTCGCAACAGTCATGTCTGGATTTTGCGCCGTTAACCTCCGCAGCAGTCTTGCTGGGTCATCAGCGGTGCTAGTAGCATCCTCCGGGGTCTATAGAGAGGCTTTGGGACCTTATACTGACTGACAACAGCCAGTGATGCCTCCTCCCACGGTTAGAGATCAGCTGTAACCTTTTCCAACAATGCAAGCGCCCCATCGTTATCACAGACTACTCTGATGATCTCACCAGAGTAAGTCCACGATTTGTACGTGGGTGCTTTTACCTGGCTGCTGGAAGTAGGCAAGATTGCTATGTCCAATTCCTCAATTATACTGCGTTTAATAAAGTTTGCCCGGTCGGCAGTGACCTTTCTGTACCTGTTTACCTTATTTATAATAGCGACCTTAAGGCGGCTTCCGCGAAGCTTTGGGAATGCGTAGCGGCGTTTCCACCACTGCGTGACTTCTTATGCTTCCGCGGCTTGCCTCTGTGGAGGTACTTGGGTGAAGGCGCTTCACACCGGGAGCTGTCGGTCCTTGTCCTCTTGGGGGTGGAACCGTTGTCAGCCTCCGATGTGGGCACGTTCACCTTTGTTTTGGGAGGGGCTAAAGAGGGATGAGCTGCTTTTCCCATCGCCTCTCTGGCCTTCCTCCTTTTTGCCTCGGCGCCACAAATTCTGCGACGCTTTTCCTGAGGTGGTCCTTGTCCATCATCCGCTTGGGCAGAAATTAGAGGTGAACATTGCTGTTCATTCTTAGTTCCGGCTTCAGGCTGAGGTGAACGTTTTGGTCCAGCCTTCCGGTTGGGCCGATATTGGAGGTGAACATTTCTGTCCATCCTCAACTGCGGCTTCAGACTGAGGTGAACGGAATTTGGTTTTTTGTACATTCATGTTGTTCCCACGAGTAGCTAGAGACAGGTTGGTCGCCCCGCATTACCAGGGTAAGGTTTTATACAATGGGGTTTTCCTGGTTCCCAGAGAGATCGTTCACGACCACATAAAACCCTGTGGCCATGCAGACATCGGCACGATTACCTCACACCTTAACTTAGGTAGGCTGCTTCTTGGTCGCTGAAGCAGTTCATCTATTCCTAGTCTCTCAACTACCTGGGAGAGATTCCCAGATACCCCAGAGAGCTATGTAGTGACAAGAACTGTTCTAGCATAGTCATTTCACATCTTAATACTTCCCATTTACTAGGCCTAGCCCGTTTATAGGGGGTACCTTAATTCAACTTAGGGGGGAGATCCCATTCATAGAAATGACTAATATTAATACTGTTTACTTTATATATTTTTTCTAGATATTTGTATTAAATAAATAGCTATATATAAGCTAAATAAAGCAATATTTGTGTAATTACCAAAATTATGTTCCGAAACATTCAAAATAATTACCTGTGAAATTAATCAACTTCATTAAAATTGTCACTACCTATTTTGGAATGCTTGGTCGGTATCAAAAAGAAATAATCAAAGCTTTTTAAAGTTCTGCATCTGCAAAAATGTTTATCTGTAAAAAAAGATCTACAGGAAGTTGCCATCTTTTGTAAAATGAATCGTTTTTTTCAATCCAATGTTTGGTCCTTAAAAAATCGTAAAATCTATGCATGCAATACAAAAAATTGGTAAATAAACCAAAACGCTGGATCACAGTAAAAGCTGTTGTAATCTAAATGTACTTTCTCTGTCAAAAACGTAAATGGCGGCAAAGGCTTAATAAAATTGACAAGTATGATTTTTATTGTAGGGGCTTTACACCAACAATAAATTCATGAAGTCGCTTTAAGGTCAAATTTGACGTGTGTAAAGCCCAATTTGACGTCCAATTTTGCTGTAAATAAATTTTAAGGAAATAGAACATGTTCTATTTTTCTCATTTATTGGACCTGAATTCAGTGTCAGCAACCTGTGTAGATTTGACACGAAGTTGGGATAATAATTATTTTGTTTTTGATTATTGAAATTGCATCTTTAAATTGTGTGTCAAATAAGAGTTTTTAACTAGTTTTTTTATTTGAGAATTAAAAAAAAAATGTTAGAAAAGAGGTAAGTTTATTATCTGTTACGTGGTCTAGTCATTAGATTTAAGTGGATATGTTTTAAATACTTAGATATATTTTTTTCAACCAGGTATGAATAATTCTATATTAGGGATAGGATTTTTAAATTTACTTCAGATCTAGTCTACTCGTCTATTTTCTTGAACTACATATGGATAATTCTATATTATTGATAAGGTTTTAAATTCACATTCAGATCAAGTCCACTAAATTCAATTTTGGAAGAGAAAGTTTCTCATTTTAGCCAATGAAAGTGGCTGTAAAGTTGAAATGATTCAATTGAAAAATCGAAGTGGAGACAATTTTGAAGATGAATTGCTAAATAAAGACTTTATTGAACCTCACAAAAATATTTTATAGGGCTCTCAAATATCTTCAACTTAAGGGAAAACCTCAGGAGGTTCATTAATACACATATAATTCTTTTTATTAACTTTTTCTTTGCATAATTAAATATATTTCTTTTCAGTGCTGGTCTTCTGCCAGTTCCATTTCTCTGATATGTTTCTGTTGTGCCCTTTTCTTCTCTTTTTCTACATGAAGCTGTTGGCCTGCTACTAGTTTTGTTCTTTCTTCAAATAGGCTCACTACCATCAATGCTAACTACTTAATTATTCATAGTTTCCTTCCTAAATTCGCATTTCTTTATAAATACAGGATTCCATATCCTACTGATAAAATCTGTAAATATAATTCTTTATTTAGAATAAAATCATAGTTGTTTGTGTATAACAAATGTTAAAATTAACTTTTATTCATGCTATTATGTTTGTTCATTTACCCTTTAAATTATAGGGCAACATATTATTTAAAAATTATTGTAGTTTTATATATTTAGTTTAGTCCTACCCCACTATTCAATATAGCAAATTGTAATATGCTAAAGACAAATCATTAATATTGTAAAGAATCAACTCACATTGGTAAAGTATTACTGGTTATTTCCATTTTTTATTTATTTTTAAGTATTCATTTTTTTAAAACTCCTCTTTTTAATTAGAATTATTCTCTACACATCTGAACAATAAACATATTTATTTATATTAGGAATCGAGCATTTCGCAATTGCGGGCACTCTAACCTAACTTACCTAACCAAATATATTTTCCTCAAGGCACTGCGTCACAGTGTTGCCGTATTTATTTTAGTAAAATATGTATATGAATGCTACAAATATAAATTTACTTTTACGAAATAATAATTTGTGTTATGAGAAGCTACAAATTTTAAATAAGTATAAAACTTGCCGTATTTTTTTTTGTAAAATGTATATGAAGGTTTAAAATATAAGTTACTTTTACGAAATTATAATTTGTATTATGAGAAGCTACAAGATTTAAATAATTATAAAACAAATATTTTCTTTGTTTATAAAACAAATTTCTTATAAAAAAAAGTTTGTTTCTTATAAAACAAATATTTTGTAAAATCTTTGAATTTTTATATAATTTCAATGCATTTCTATTATATACGGTAATTTAATTATTACTATTAATTTTTTATATAATTTTAATCAATTTTATTGTATATGCATTTGATTATCTAAATTTAACTAAAATCTATACTATTAATTTTTTATATATCACTTTAATCAACATTTGTATATTATGTGAGAGTATGTAAAAACTGGAGACTTGGCAACTCTGACACCATTTAAGCGAACGTTAAATGTCATATAAATGCTTGGTTAGGTTAGAGTGCCCGCAATTGCGAAATGCCCTATTTAGGAATCTATTGAGAATATATTGTTTCTTTAGCTCTGTTGTCCTTATTTAAGTTATTTAAAATTATCTTCTGTGTCTAAAACTCAACAGTTTCTACTAATTTTTACAATCTTAATCACTATTTTCTTTTTAAAACAATATTATTGTTTTCTGATTATATTTCCAAATGCATCTTGATTCAAAGGAACAACAATAAATAACATCCAAATTCCAAAGAATTTAGAGAGAGAGAGAGAGAGAGAGAGAGAGAGAGAGAGAGAGGCATGCCATGTCGCATATGCGTCAATGCGTCTATATTCTTTGATAAACCATTGGTAGATTGGTACTACTGAAATAATGACACTTGATTTGATGTAAAAATTTATTTGAAAAGAAACTGAACATACATCCAAGAAATTCACGAATTTATTGTTTATTGACACAGAAATTGATGAATTTCTTCGTGAATTTATTGTTGGTGTAAAGCCCGCATTAGTTGAGTTTACCGAAAGTACAAGCTGAAGATAGCCGCAAATGTCAACCAAGAATTAAAATATTTGGGTTGGGATGTTTTTAGAATACAACTGTTGTATGCTTCAAATATAAAGAGAGACAGCTTTTAAAAAGTACATATCGATTACACTATTTTATGAATTCTGCAATTTTTTATTTATATTAAACAATAACAAGTAAATGTTAAACCGAAATTTTTTGTTCCATGTTTGACATTTGAGGCTATGCTCAGCTTGTACTTTCGGTAAACTTAACCAGTTTGTATTTGATTCACTGGCATATGCACAAGGATGCGTGACAACAAATAAAGAAAGAAGAAGTATTTGATTCTTAGACAAGGAACCTTGTCGATTTGATTTCTTTGGCTTTCTTTCTGTCAGAGATATGTATATATCTATGCTTTCTATGTATTTGGTGACAGAGTTACATAGTTGACAGAACACAAATTCCCTAATAGAAACTGTCATATAGAAAAGAAGCTCATATGTAATAATGAATAATAAAATGAAATAAAAAATTAATTCCCGGAAATGTTGGCAGAATTGATTGGCGGAATATTTTTACATCCACCATTATATGGCTTGGTTAAATTGCCAAAGTGCATAGTTTTTTGTTATGAATGTTCTTGTTAAATCATGTTTATAATAACAATGTAATATTATCATAAAATTCGTATCGTTAGTATACATATTAGCGGTTTTGAAAATATTTGAACATATTGTGATACAGGGGAACCAAACAATCAGAAAAAGCCGGGATTTAACACTCAGAAAGGTTTGAGAAAAACCAAATTTGTTTTTGATGGTTTACCTGCACTACCATGTTCATTTCTCAGAAGTTCGTTTACAACATTCTACAATGTGATATGAGGTGTAACTATTAACCGCAAAAAATAAATTGTAGGCAGAGAAGGAATCACTAACTTTTAAAATATAAGTGTAGCAATTTTCAGAATGGAGGAATATAATAGTGAAGCTCTTAAAACAGTTCAAGACATTGCTAACAATATTTCAATAGCTATCCCAGACATTCACAGACATGAGATGTTAAACACTCTTCAAACTAATATTGCAGAAAGATACAATGAGAATGAAATAGATATTAATAGTAAACATGAAAGTACAAATATGAATTCTGTAGATAATGAATTAGCAGCTAATTTATTAAGTACTTCAAAAAGCTTCCACCAGCATCCAGAACCTACTCTAAGGGAATTGCAAATTAGTTCTTCCTGTGTAGAATCTCAAATAGCAAATATTCATAGCTCTACTAAAGAAAGAGTTGAAGATCGGATGAGCACAGAAAGCATTAATGATAATTCTGTAGAACCCTCGGATTGGGATAGTATACAAGGTAATTTAAAAATGTTTCTTCATGTTAACCAATTTCTAAGTTATATTTTCATGATACAAACTTAATACTTTAGGTAATATTTGCAATTGATAAAATAGCAGCTTGGTCATTTCAAACTAAATGTTTGCTTGTTACAGTTTTTACAAATGCATTTTCTGTTTTTCAAATTGTTTATTAAACTAATTGTATGTTTACTAACATTACTGGTTCTTTTTCATAAAAAGGACCAAACACAAGTTATTCTTTTTAATGACTAATAATGTGGTACCACTTTTGCTGGATATTTACAATAACATTAGGAAAGAAGTTTAAGAAAGAAGGAAACAATTAGGAAAGTGTCAGAAATGAGTGGTGTTTGTGAAAAGACTCTGTTTCGCATACAATAGGAATATTCTTCACCTGCTGGATTACAATCTTCAATGAGCAGGCCCAAGAAGCGAAAGGTTGGTAATTCTCTTGACAACAAGTACAACGAAGGTGTCAGGTACCAAATTCGTAGAACAGTTCATCAATTTTTTCGTGACAACATACCACCAACAGTAAACATAATATTAGCTGTTGTAAATGTTGAAGGAAACTTTGCTCAACTTTTCACGGACCACGCTACATTGCTTGCTGAGTGATATGGATTTTGTGTTTATAAAACGTGGCAGAAATTCAATTTTGATTGAAAAACCAGAAATCATCTCATGGCCTCATCGTTATTTACACGCAATTCGTAAATACCGTTCAGAAGGATACAACATAGTGTATTTGGATGAATCATGGATAAATATTGGGCACAGTGTGAAAAAAGAATGGGTTGATAAAACAATTACATCTCATGACGACATTTTTGTTTGTGGTATGACAATAGGATAAAAAGCTCCAACAGCTCGTGGTGCACGGTTCGTTTTATTACATGCAGGATCTACCAGTGGATTTGTTGATGGAGCAGAGCTCACGCTTTTGGCAAAGAAAAATACTCAGGACTACCACAACGAAATGGATGGACCGATCTTGAAAGATTAGTTCGAAAATAACAATGTTAAATTTGCCAGAAAAATAGTAAATTTGTTGTGGTAATGGACAATGCCTATCACAGCAGAAAGTTAGAACAAGTTCCCAACAGTTCAACACTAAAAAAAGATATTCAAGAATGGCTTCAGTCAAAGGGCCTATTTTTTTTAAGAAGACCACCTAAAATGCGAGTTACTTGATGTAGTCAAGGCCTTCAAAGCAAAATATGACAGATACATAATAGTAGATATTGCCAAAAAGCACAACATAAAGATTCTGAGGCTTCCACCCTATCACTGTGAACTCAATTCCTTCGAAATGCTTTGGAGTGAAGTGAAACGGTATATAGCTGGACGCAACACAAATTTTAAAAAAAGCTGAAATGCAAAATTTAATTACAGCAGCGTACCAGGACATTACTCCAGAGAAATGGAAAAACTATGTAAACCACGTAATAGCAACAGAAAAAAATGTGGGAAATTGACAATTTGTTGGATGATATCGAACCAATTATTATAAATATAAATAATTTAGATAGTGATGAGAGGGAAGATAATAATGATGATGATAATAGTTAAGCAGAAACTAAATGTGACAGCGATTGACAGAAAAAGGAATTAAGTATAATGGTGTACAATTACGATTACTTACACACGAAATTAAATACAATGACTTCTTTTGTTTTCAACTTATTTATTAGTGTTATTTTTGGATATTTCTATGTTTTGTTACTGCCAACATATACAGTGCACTTTTTGAAAGTCCTTCCCCCCTAACTTTTTAACATAATACATAAATAAAATGTTTCTTTATATTTTAGTTTTATTGTATTCAATTTTATTTAAATCTATAAACAAATGGTTTGTATGGCTAGCACATACTGTAGAATTAAAAACAAACTGCTTGTGTGACATAAATAAAAGGCATTTCTTAATTTCTATTTTATTTTAATTTAACCCAAGTATGTTGTAGCAAATATTATTTATGTTTGAGAACCACTGACAGTAGGAAGCCAGGCAGGGTCGTTACTGGGCATTAGTATTTAAGCTACTCTCAACACAAAAGATGGATTAGGCTAAATAGTAAGAAGTGACATTTATTTTAACACAAGTTTGCAAAGAAGTATGGCATTGATGTTGTGCATTTACCCTATACAGACTAGTTGTTTTGAGACAATCTATAGTAAATCGAAAAGTTATCTTTTTTAATTTTAATTTATTATTGTCTGGTTTCCTCACTGCTATTTTGGATTTTATAACCTGTTTTAATTTCTTTGTATGTCATAAAGAGTAGTTAGTAGTTCATTTATAATTTGTTTTAGGTATTAGTTTTACAAGTAAAAATGTAAAGGAATCTATTGGTAATGCTTGCCCAGACTCCTTCAGAAATTTGGAAAATGAAAGTAGCCAAGCTGTTGGAAATCCAAATCAACCAGAAGAGTTTTCTACTGCCTTAAATGAATCCATAGAGGTGCAAACCGACAAGAGTTCTAGTGGTTTACATTTCGAAAGTGAAAAACAATTACAATCTTTGGATAAGGATGCAACTAAACAGCATACATTTAATTCACTTGATATATTTGGTAGAAATAGGTATGATGATGGTAATGAACCTCATGAAAGTACTGAATTAACAATGTTAGATGATCTATCAGAAATACCTAGTGAGAGTTTTGCAGGATTAGAAGATGTGGCTAGTAGATCATTTAGTAGTAACATATTTGAAGTAAGTTCTAATGACAAAGAGAAACTCAATAGTGATCTGAATGATGCAACTGATAGTGAAAAAACACAGAAAACCATGTGTCAACAGACTGAGAAAAGCAATACAGAATCCGAAACCAAAGAAGACAGTCCATTGTTACAGGTAGTTTATTTAATAGCTTATAGAATATTGAATATATATACACTGACTGCCAAAAAAGTGGACACCCAATAAATTTCTGAAAATAAAAATTCATTGGAAGTTTTATGCACTGTTTCATATTGTACTCTTAACATCTTTCATTTTTAAAACAAAAAAATGGCCATTACTGTTTGATTTCTTAGCATAATTTATTTAATCAGAAGGCTACAAAAGAAAATGGTGTGATATTGAAATGAATTACAAACAATAAAAATTACGAGTGAACTTAACTAAAATTGTCTAATATCGAGTATTATACCCTAAAACATCAATAACCGTTTGCATATGATTTGGAATGGAAAGGAAAAATTTTTGCAAGACTTTCTGGCTGACCTGGTTGACTTATAACCCTACAATGAAATTCATCCCAAAGGTTTGATGATATTTAGATCGGGGCTGCAGGCTGGCCATTCTAGAGTCTTAATTCCAACTTTCCCCAAGTAATATGTCAGTATTCTTGTAGTATGCTGCCGTGTATTATTATGCATAAAGACGAAATTGTCATCAATAAAGGAACCGAATGAAACTACTGCTTCCGTCAAAGCATCCTCTATATACCAGTGAGCATTCAGGTGGCCATTGATGAAAATAAGTTCAGTTCGAGCTTCAAGTGAGATTCCGGTCCAAACCAAGACACTACCACTGCCAAACTTTCTTCTCTGAGACGTACAAGCTTCAGCATATCTTTCATTTCTCCATCTCCAAACCCTCTTTCGTTCATTGCCAGATTTCAAACAGAACCACGATTCATCAGTAAAGAGAATTCAGCTCCAATCCTGTATGTCTCAGTCTTGATGCTGTGGGGAAAAAATGAATCGGTTCCTACAGTGTCTGGGTTATAATTCGGGAATAATAGCCTGCCTTCTTGCCACTAGCCCTCTTTCATTGAGCTGTCTTCTCTCACTTACATTCCCATTTTGAACCTCCTGCAGACAGTTTCTTCAGCAATTGCAGTGGAATAGCGATTTCTTAAAAGTTCCATCATAATAAAACGATCATCTCTTTGCAAGTTAACTCTTCCACGACCGGAGCCATAAACTGTCAAAAACAAGCATACAAGATCGCAAAAAATATTTAATTTGAGATACAATATGAAACAGTGCATAAAACTACCAATGAATTTTTATTTTCGGAGATTTATAGGATGACCACTTATATATATTGAACCTAGAACTAAGATTAATACTATTATAAAAGCGTTCCTGGTTGAACCGCGTTGATTTCCATTGCGCCGAGCTTTCGATATCCTCTCTGATGTCTTCTTCAGGGCTTCCGAGGTCTGTCTCCCAAGCCCAAAGGCACTACTGCACTGATCACTATTCACTTCACTGCTGGTTACGTGCTTATTTTCATTTACTTCGTTTTGTTGGTGTTTATTATTAAACCCATTTTTGTAGCTGGTTCTTTTAGTGCTACATACGACTCTCTGTATACCATCATACTATGTTTTCTACTATCTCTTATAATTCTATCAATAGTTCGTGATGGAATCAATTGTTCGTTTTACGCTTTACAAAAATGTGTGTTAATTGCGACGTCAAAAACGTTCTACAATGTTTGTTCAAGTTTTTTAATAAAAGAAATTTATATTCCATTACTTCTGTTTACAGGAAAAAGAAAAAGAAAAAGAATTATTAGTTGAAAAATCTACTGCTGATGATAAAACAGAACCATCTGTCAAAGAAAATACAACATCAATTGAAACCGAAGGGAATGTAAGCGAAACTGTAGATCAAAATTTAAAAGATGGTGAGAAACTAGATACACAAGAAACTGTTGTTTTAATGACAGAGAAAGAAGTCACTACTGATTTAATGAATTCTAAGGAAAAAACCGTCGATACAACAACAGAGAACAGTGAAAAGACCGCTGATTTGACAACAGTGGATAAAGAAATAACTGACGGTTCAATGGAATCAAATAAAGAGTCCGCTGAAACTGTAAAAGACCTGTCTGAAAAAGAGAAGTCATCGAATTCCAAAGGTGTTGATGGTAGTTCTTTTGACAAAAATGACAATAGGGAAGGTGCCGATGCGGAATTGTGTATTATTCCCGATACAGAAAGAGTTATTTCTCAGGTAATTATCTTTATTATTTTTATTTAAATTTTGGTTTTGGTTTTGATTACACCATATTCCAATATAGTTTATTAAAAAGCCATTTTATAAATGGAGTTCGGTTTTGGAAATTGGTGTTACTTTATTAACCCCATTAAGTTAAGTTGGGAAATCTATATAAAGTATATCTCAATAAGTTGGTACCAGATACGGTACAGATCTAATTACTCTTGGAGTGACCCACCAACATAGAGCAACTGAGACAAAAGAAAAGATTATCGAAATTTGCCAAAACATCTCAGCAAATAAACTGAACGCCATTAGAAAGGCGTTGTGTAATAGATTTTGTTTCTGCTTGACACAAGGTGGTGGTCCGTTTAAACATTTAATTCCCTAAAAATTTTATATGGTTTAGAATTTCTGATTGTTTGGAATTATTTTTAATTTAAGCGATAGTGTTGAATTAATTTTTTATAGAAATATTTTTCTATTCTCACCCACTACTAAAATAGTTAAACAAAAATATGGTTTCAAAGATATTATTTGGCATTTTCCAAATATCTTATTTTTAATTAACCTCTGGCCTATCCTTCTCCTTGATCAGCATATTTAATTTGCTGTAATCCCTTTTTCTAATCCCATGTAATTAAATCACATTTGACAATAGAAATTAAATTTAATCCTTGATCCGTCATAAGTTTGTTACTTTAATCGGATAAAGGGTTTCCAAAAAAAAAGAAATATATTTAACAAGGATTAGTTTTCTTCATCTAAGGCATCTATAAAATAAGAAAATAATTTTTATGGCAATCAATTTGTTCTAAAATCCTGATTATTTTTTAAATAATAACCGCACGCCTATGACTCGTCGATTTCCTTTCTCCTCAGACCCGCAAAGGTCTACATTGAAAGTATGAGTCACTGTCTACAATATTGATACTGAAGTGTCAGCGCATAGGTTTGACTAATGCAACTTTCAGTGCATCGGAAAATACACCTGTTGAGTCACATATTAACCAAATGACACATTGCTGTTGCTAACTCAAAGGTACAAAATTTTATTAACCTATTTGATATATTATCATATCCTGAACTATTATTTTTCAACTTTTGTGTTAAAACAATTCCTCAGTAATGGTAAGTGGTGTTATATACATAGTATTAGTATTTTTGAAGGTACTTCAAGGAAAAATTTATTACAATTATTACTTAAGGCCTTATGACACTATGCATTTTCTTGTATCATTTCTTATATCGTTTCTGATATAACAAAAAAAATGGATAGTGTCATACAAGCGTATAGTCCTTATATCAGAAACGGTACAAGAATTTGTGTCCATCGCAGTTTCTTGTACAAGAAATGAGAAAATTTGTGCGCAAAAACGTAAAACTTCTGTCATAATGGCTGCTGAAAATGCGATCATATGATTTGATTTGATTTTTTTTTTTCGTAAATTTTTTATTGATATTGATACTTAATATGGACGAAGATTTCGTGATAGTAGCTGTAGTGTCAACGTGTTTGACAATGCTAGCTGCACACATGTTTACTAGAAAAAAGAAACCAAAACGTTTATGAAGTAGACCATGGATATCCAGGAGAAGTGATTAACTGGATTAAGGGAGTGACTGTAAAAATTTAGGTTAAAATTTATAAAATCATCTGTAGACGCAGTACTACCAATGTAACGTGACACAGTGTGACAAACAAAATTTCAATGGCATACAGAGCACGAATGTACGTGCAAGCAACGATACAAGAAAACTTAAATAACTTTCTATATCAGAAATGATACAAGAAAATGCATAGTGTCATACGGCCTTTACATTTGCAGGATCTCCAGTAATTTTGAAACTATTTGCTGTTTGATTATTACCTCTAATTTCCCTGACTATCTACTATAAACATTTTGATTTATTATCACTGTTTTTAATTCGATACCTATACTGCAATTTCCCTGACTCTACTAACATTTTGTTGTAATTTCGTTTTGTTTGTTGATACTATTCCACATATTTAGTATTTTATCCTGCTAAGCACTAATAAATAATCAAGGAGCTATTTACACTGTTTTAGTTCTATGCTGTTATAATATGTTAATTTTTTTTTATTTGATATTACCGTTTTTTCTTGAAAGCAGTAATTGAAGATAGAAACTAGTATTTGCATAAACATGTCCCATTGTTCATTAACATTTTTAGATGTATTAAATACTTGTTCCCAACACTGTTCTCCAAACATGGATCTAACATGTTCCTTATTTTGTTAATAAATAACCCTTCTTTTGATAATATTTACATTATGGTTGTCAGAGACCTGAAAGGTCAACTTTTGTGCTGAGTGATCAGATATATGAGTGACTAATACTTCAGCTGAAAAAACTCACAGTTTGTTAAAATGTTGTCAATACATGATCTAGAGGTTCCGATTATGCGTGTGTAATTTAAAATTGAAGGAAATATATTAAAAGTGTTTTGCATGGGAAGAACATTTGTTTTATTGTTGTTTTCAATGCTCAAATTTATGAAATTGCTGCATACAATATCCTGAAGGATACACACAAATCTAAAACTTTCTTATTACTCAAAATTATTTCTGCTTAAGAATACTCAAACAACCTAGGTATAGCCATCTGATCGATATCCTGTCTTGCTTTCCACACTATTCCATTTTTAAGATAAATAGCTACTCCCCCATGCTATCCTTCACTCCTGCAGAAAGCAGAGACCAGCCCAAAGTTTTGCAAAATTTAATTTTCAAGTTGTATTTTAGATTTACAATGTTCACTTATACATACCGCAGTACATTCTTTGTGTTGTTGAATTTCCTCTTGAATTGTGTCAAAACAGTTTCCCATCGATCGAATGTTTTGGTGAACTATACTAACATTAAATAATTGTTCACCTGTATTTTCTTGATTCCTTAATTCGTTGCATTTGTCGATGGTGCCTTTTGCTGCAAAACACTTGAAACCAATGATTCGCTGGGCCAGATGACTCTTTGCTAAGCACTTCTGAAATTTGACTGGTTAATAGTTCCATTAAAAGATGCATAAACCTTTGGATGTTTTGATAACTGATTTTCGCATTTTGCTTGTGGAAAATGTTGTTTTATCATTTATTCTAGATCTTATAATTTGATGTCTGGTGTTAATCTATTTATATGTAAGGATACAGACTTGGTAACCGTTGTTACTTTGTCATTGCTGTTGCTTGTCCAAATAACAAATTGTTTATTTCTGCAACGTTCTTTCTTCTGCCACCTTGTTTCTTCATCTACTGATTCCAAATTCTGTATCGCGGTCATTTTCTGCACAATTTTTGCTTCATGTACTGCAGCTCTAACTTCCTGTACTTGAATAATATTTGTGTTGTTGTCATTAAATTCTTTAAGGTGTCCATTTTTGTTTATGTTTACTTGTTTTATGGGTGACGTCTGAGCAGTGGGTGTGAAATGTTTAGGATCCATGATTCTGTGTTATTTAGCCTACTAACAGTTGAACTATTCATATCGTCTGGCTTGCTCGGGTACCTATCGGGATACCTTCGGTTGGTTCGTGATGCCATGTGTTGTGATTTTCCTCTGGACATGGTTCCACTACTATCATTAACAACAGCTGGGCTTTTATCATCAATTGTTTTTGCGGTACAGTTGTTTCGGATATTCTTTAATGATTAATTGTTTCGTTCGTTTACTGTTTTAGGTTTTTATTTGAATAGGTATTTAAACTCATATTTTGTTGTATAGATGGCGATTGTTTTGTTAACTTTATAACAATTAAATCTAATTATTCTTTTAGCGAATTTATAGTAATTTGCTGATTTGATATGATTAGTTCATTCTGCTTTATAATTTTCTTAGATACCTGATTTCCATTAACCTTGGATCCTCATCGTCAAACACGGTATCCAAAATTTCGTCTTTTGGATCATTTAACTTCCGCTCTTTAGTGGAGCCATCTTGAATCCTCTATAATTACTACTAACGAAAATAATAATTACCTAGGTAAAATTTGCGAACTTTCCATCACACTTTATCCAGACTTTGGACTGGCTGAACTGTTTATAATATTTAAAACAAATCGGGTGTGTTTAAAAGCTGGTTTTTTACCAGTTTACTAAATTTAAAAATATATTTATGTAGATAAATATATTTATAAATATATTTCTTAAAGTTTACCATGTATAAATACACATTATTATTAGAGCAATTTAAAAACCTTGTGATCACCGATCCTAATTATTATGCAGATTATTTAATCCCTTGTTAGGTAGATACATCATCATCATCACGTAGCGCTACAACCCTGGGTGGGTCTTGGCTGACTGTTCAACTTTTTTCCAATTTGTTCGGTCTTTCATCAACCTAGGGTTAAATGGAATGTTCATTTTCCGGAGATCTGCTTGGATGTTATCTCTCCATCGAATTCTGGGACAAGTATTTTTCGTTCAAATCGTCTGAGCTTTTCTTCGTTTGCTTTGGTCATGGTCCACGTTTCTCATCCGTATGTTATTACAGGTCTGACGATGGATTTATAGATTTTGATTTTTGAACTTCTTGTAAGATTTTTTAATTTTATGAGCTTATTCAGTGCGAATATACAGCGGTTTGCAGATTGGAATCTGTCTTATTTCTTCAGTAAAATCGTTGTCAGTTGTGATTGCGGCCCCCAGATACTTAAAACGTTGTACTCTTTCGAAATTGAAGATGTTGACCGTCACATTTTGTCCTATTCTGTCTCTTCGTGTCGTTCTATTTATACACATATATTTCGTCTTCTCTTCATTAATCTTCAGCCCTACTTCACTTGTTGCCCCTTCCACCTTGTTGAATATGTCTTTCGTAGATAGTATGGAGTCTCCAACGATATTTATGTCATCGCATATGCGAGTAACAGCTTGGGACCTTGAACCAATAGCAATTCTGTTTTTATTTCGGCCGACCTCATGGCTTTCTCTAATACAAGGTTAAAAAGTAGTGGAGATAACGCATCACCCACCACGAGATAACGCACGTTTGAGTTCATTGTTGATTTAAAAGCTGTCAGATCGTTTATTATTTACACGTACTTTAGATATTCCACCCTCCATACAGAATTCGGTCATCCGAATGAGTTTCTTGGGTATTGAGAACTCCGCCATAGCATACCATACTTGACTTCTTTCTACGATCATATGCCTGTCGAAAGTCTATGAAAAGATTGTGTATGGATCTGTTATACTCTCATCCCTTTTCTAGAAGTTGTCTCAGCGTGAATAGTTGATTTATTGTTGATCTGTTTGCCCTAAAACCGGCTTGATATTCGCCTAGGACATTTTCAGCATAAGGGATCAGTCTACTAAGAATGATGTTTGAGAGGGTTTTATATGCCGTGTTTAGCAGTGAAATTCCTCTATAATTTGCGCATTTTGTTTTATCTCCTTTTTTGTGGATGGGCACTATTATGTTTTCCTTCCATCGTGCTGGTATCCTTTTTTCTAACCATATGTGCGTTATTAGCTGATGGATTTGGCGATGTAGTGCGTCTCCCCCAAATTTCAGAAGTTCTGCTGGTATCTCGTCCGTACCTGGCGCTTTGTGATTTTTCAGCTTATTTAAGGCCTTTTGGCCTTAAATAAGCTGAAAGGAGGGATTTTTGACGGGCATGTCCGCTGTGATATAGATCTCTTCTTTGTGCTGTTCTTCCTGTATGATGTTTAGAAGGTCCCTAAAATACTCTTTAAATTCTTCAGTTACGTCTTTACCGTCGATTATCATACGGCCTTAATTGTCTCTCAGTGTATGGATGGAATTGGTTCTATGTCCTCTTTTCTCAGAGGAAATTGCTTTATAGAATTTTCTGGAGCTTGCTTTGGGCCGGTCTCTCTCCATAGCTTCATATTTTTGTTGTTCACAGTTTCTTTCCTTTGTGCGTATTATTTTTCTTGTTTCTTTTCGGCAGTCGTCATATTCCTTTTTAATTTGGTCTGTTTGCAGTTGTATCCAAGTCTTCCCTACTGTTTGTCTTTTTTCCAGATGTTTGCGACATTCCACGTCGTACCATGTTTTTGCCCTCTTCTGTCTACTCCTTCCAAAGATCTTGTCCGCTGTCTTGGTTATTATTTCGGCAGTCATTTTCCATAGCTGTTCTATATCATTGTATTCTCTTTCAGAGTTCAAGGTTTGTTCAAGTTGTTCTCTATAGTTTTGTTGTTTTTCTTATTGTGCATTTCGTCCATGTTCCACTGTGTGTTTATTGTTGTTTTCTTGTATTTGTGGCTAGATATTCTGGATTTGACTTTTGCTCTAAGTAATTATCTGTGTCTCCGTCTATTCCTCTCAGGCTTCCTACGTCTATAATATTGTTTCCATGACGGACATCTACAATAATGTGGTCAATTTGGTTGCGCGTAATATGGTCGTTTGAGACCCAGGTTTGCTTATGGATGTCTTTATGCGGAAAGATGGTTGACTTTATTAGCATATTATTAGCTGCTGCAGATTCTGTGAGTCTTAACCATTGTCGTTGGATATATTGTGGAGGCTGTGTTTACCTATTGTGGGGTATATGCTAGGCTCTTTGCCTATTTGAGCATTAAAGTCCCAGCAGAGTATGCGCATATCTTGTTTGGGCATCGTATCTATCTCTCTTTCTATCGGCATCGTAGAAGTCATCCTTGATATCTTCATCCCTCTTCCGTTGGTGCATGCGCTGAGATAATCGAAATGTTGTATCGTTCTCCCTCCATTCGTATGTAGCATATCCTTTCGTTTATAGGTTTGAAATTTAGTATATTCTGTATTAGGCAGTCTCTAATCACAAAGCCCGTTCCAAATTCATGTCTTCCGTTTTTGTTACCACTGAAGAAGATGGTGGATTTACTAATTTTTAAATTTCCATCGTCTGGTCATCTTATTTCTTGGACTGCTGTTATATCCATTCCTATGTTTTTTCCCAGAGGTTGCTGATGTAAAAACTGCCTCCTCCAATTGTATTAAATGCAATAATAATTGTATATGATCACTACTTCTGATTTTAACTATATATGTATGTTTAAAGCTCTATAATATTGTAATCTAGTCTGACCAAAAAATCTTATGTATGTTTAATGGTGTGTTACTTGAAATTCCAGTGAATTGTTCTGATGTTAATTTTGATGCAGACATATTCGTAATTACATTTGTGTATCTTTTGCTGTATTGTCATATATTTAAATATTAGTCGACTAATTTAAAATAAAAGTAATTTGTTAATAGGCTGAAAGGGACGCTGCTTCTTCAATGCGGCCACTCCGTGATATCAGTGAAGCCAGTACATCAAGTCAAGTTAATAACATTGAAGGATCCTCAAATCAGTCAGGAGGTTCTTCCATAGTAGTTTTTAAACACGAAAGAGATGACTTGGAAGTATGCAATCGATGTAAACTGGTAAGTATTTTTAAAAAGTATGTTGATAGATTTATTAATTTCTTTTATTATTTTACAGAAAAGGAAAGTCCGATATTACTATGTTATGAAAACTAATGGAACACATTATTATCTGTGCGACGATAATTGCTTAAATGATTTTAAAAACAGCCACGCAAATAAGGTTGTTTTAAATTGGGTTGAACGATGTATAAGGGTTAAGGACTTATCTGAAGTGAAGAGTGCAGAATCTGTTTCACTTATAAGGAGATGTGCTTCATGTAAACGAGAAACTAATGATATTAATCAAAATTTAACGTGGGAGATTATGGATTTTTGCAACGAATATTGTTTAACAAAATATCAGAAAGATACAGGCTCACAGTGTTCAAACTGTAAAGGAGATGTGGAAAGTCACTTTCTTGGAAAATACTGTGTTAGATTTGGTAATGACATTAGGCAATTCTGCACAAGTACGTGTCTTGATAAGTACAAAAAATTCCTTAAAGTGTGTTCATACTGTCAACAAGATATTTCTGCAGGAGATTCTGCATTTTTGGCACCAGTTGGGGATAAAGGTCAATTTAAAGACTTTTGTTCCCAAATTTGTATGGAGAAATATGATATAATGGCCACTGGTAGAACTCTCACAGTGCCTCCAGGTACGATATGCTCAGTTTGTAAAGCTGAAAACTCCATCACCATGGAATTTGAGTTAGATTCAAATCTTCACTACTTCTGTGGTGAGTTATGTTTTGTGGCTTTCAGTTTTGTAGAAAATATTTCAACAGGAAAATGTGCCATGTGTTCTAGACATTTTGAAAAATCAACTCTTGAAAAACATACAATGTATTATGATAATGTTCAGTACAGCTTTTGCTCCACAAGCTGTGAAAATATCTACATTATTGCTCACAGAAAAATAGTAAATTGCAGCTGGTGTAAAGTAAAGAAGTATAATTTTGATATGATACGACAATACAACAAACAAGGACCTACAATAAATATGTGCAGTGTGAACTGTCTTAACCTGTATAGGTTTTCTATTGAAAGAAATAATATTTGTAGTCATTGCCATAAGGTTGTTCCTCCTTTGTATCATTTAAAAAGTCATGATGGTGTGATGAGAAGCTTTTGTACTTATAATTGCGTAACAAACTTCCAAAATAAATTATCGAGTAATATTGGATCGACTATACGCAGTAGAGAAGAGAGCACACTTTCCAATGTTTCTACTAGAAAGGGTAAAAGAAATACAGGAACAGATACAAGTAAGTACTTATTTTAACACGAATCAGTCGGACTTTCCTGTAAATAATGCTTAACTAGCAAATTAACACAACTCATATTCATCAGTCATAATTATTATTTCATATCGACAACAATTTTTTTACCATGACATCGTTTGCTTGTCTTATTTATTGATTTAGTAGTAACCAGAATATCACAGTCTCTTGTTTACACTATTCCTTTTAGGGAGCAAATAGACAGTTTTGATTTTCCTTTTCAGCTGTTTAAATGCTAAACATTTAACCTGTCATCTAATTTAATTGCTTTTATCAATTGTTGTTCTGTTGTTTATTTCGATTGTCGATTGGGAGATTCTTGCTAATATTTAGAATGGCTTTGATTTCCCGTCTCCGTATTTCCCTATTTTGCAACTTCACAGACAACTGGGGATCTGTTCTGGATGGGTCTTTTGCTTCCAATATGGAAATCTCAGACTTCAGGGAGTCACATGTGCTGCGACGATAGCTGAAGGAGATGTTGAATTCATTTTCAAAATATTCATGAAAGGATTCATACGATACTTCATTTTCCGGATACTGATCAGTGTACATTTTGTGCAGCTTTGTAATGTTAAGTTCTTCAGGTAGGTATAATTTTTCCGTTTTCTTCAGAGAACAGTGTGATTTTCTCCCTCTCAGTGACTTAAAAAATGTGTACATTTTTTTCTTAGTATCTTCTGTTAGCTTGTGGGGTCTCTTTGAGTGCTTTCCACGTTGATCTGTGGGTGCTTTTCCCATTTGAACAAGAATTTGTCTTCTGAGATACCCTGCATGCTCATGAAAGCTTTCTAGCACACTCTCACATTACGGTCAACACCATCATATGTTAGCGAAAGAACTCTGTAGGCAAAGGAAGCTGTGTTGTACTTCGTTTGATTTTCATTTTTCCCTCTTCGCATTACCGGCAACACACTAATGAGACCGCCTAAATACGAATTCTGTTTATTTACATCCCCCATCGCATTGAACTCGCGAATGATTCTTTTGCGCTGATACTCAGGAACTGCTTCAAAACAGTGAAGCATCTTGCATCAACAATTCGGGTTGAGTTCATGGCTCACAGCTCTCAACACTTTCATCACATCTGTTACTCTACTAGTTTTCTTCTGCTTCTTGCTGGTTGAGGGCTTCGTCTCATCATCACTATCACTCCACTTTCCATCATCTCTGTCCATTTTCACAAAAACACGAAACGCTATACACAGGTTAATAATACGGTACTGAGCGCGGAAGAAATAATACTAGTGTCTAGCCCCCGGTATGCAACTTTAATAAAGATCCCGGCATGCGCTGCGTGTTTGCGATGTGCATTTAAAATGCAATGACGGGGTTCTTCCCCGCAAGCTCTATCGATGACGTGGTTTTTTCCCAGTACTGCTTATATTCAACCCGATTTTTCGCTGAGATGACGGGGTTATTTTCCAAAACCAAGGGCTTCGTCGGATTCTATGCCTCGCAATCCTTTAGTAACCACTTTGAACCAGATTAACCCAAAAATGTCGATGGATGGGTTTTCCCCTGAACTCTTCATATACAATACACAATTATCTACACAACTCACAACAAATCAGAATTTAATATCGTCCGGAGATAAAACAACTCAAATCATAGCTATCTGCCTACAAGATCGAGGCCGAGAAAGTTGCCCGTCAATTAATTCAACCGCCAATAATACACACACAGGTGTATAACCTTCTTATTTGAATTTTACTTTAAAAAAATGTAAAACGATTTCCAGGGTGGAAGTCGAAACTTCAAAAACAAATAAAACACCAATTTTCATTACAACCAATTGTGACTTAATCACATGCAAACATTATATTTGTTACTTTATTGTTACATATTTCAATAAATTAAGGTCATAAAATTAAATTTTTATTTATTTGATATTAACACTGATTCGAAATATGAATTTTTAGATGTAGCTGTATCTGACGTGCCTATGATGCCAATAATTTCCAGTGTTCAGAGTCTTGCCAACACCAATGGAACTTTTTTACCTCCACCACCAGTGCCTCCTAAAGGCACTCGATTTACTCGTTCAAAGAGTTCTTCAGGAGCAAGTCTTTTGGCTTCTACCCCTAGAGTAATCAGCTCATTATCAGACATACCATTCCAAGTTCAAATCAAACATCACTTTATTTTAAAACAGGCACCAGTACCTGAACAAAGAACAGTTGCAACTATGTGTTCTACTAAAAAAATGAATAAAGGCATACTTGCAACACCTACTATGGTAGATCGGGAAGTTCAGACTGACGAGAGAGAAGCAACAAAGATTTTGATACCTGTACCAGTTCCAATTTATGTCCCCACACCGATGCACATGTACAGTACACCAACTCCTGTTCCGGTTCCTATTCCAATACCAATACCTGTTCCAATATTTATACCTACAACAAGAAATTCAGCTGCTGGAATTATGAAAGAAATTAAGGTAAGTCGTAATTTTTTCTATTTATTTCTGTTTTTTTTGTTTTGTTTTTTTCTCTCTGGCAACCTTCTACTCTACACAGGCATTACTGTGGCCAATTGGTTTATTGTACATATTGCATTAATTATAATACATGTCCACGAAACTTCTGCATATCTGTTATATAAGTACTCCGCCTACACCTGATAAACCATTATTTATAACCAAGAATACAAAAGATTTTCTTTTACATAAAATGAAACTCCACCTTTGTTTCTTTTTTATCCTACAAAAAAAATCAGCTAATAAAAAGCCAGAGATACTAATTAATTTTAAATTTTCTTCACTTTGCCAATGCTCCGAAAAACATATGACGTCATATAAATTTTGATCCGCAAGAAAAGAATTTAAAATATTGAACTACTCCGTAGACTTCACATCTAGGTGGTATTATTATTGTATTGTCAACTACATCATCTAACAATTTCTGTCATCCTTAATGTGCATTTTTGAATTCGTGTAATCTAATATGCATAAATAGCTGGTTATAAAGTCTCTTCGGAGTATTCCATCCGTTGAAATAGAAAAGTTGTTTTCTACCATTTGGAAGGTATGTACAAAGAGATTGCCACTTACATCCAGTGTTCTAATTTAAGCAGGTAAACAATTTACGTAATTTATAAAAGTATTCTTTTGGGATTTTTTAATTATATCAATATCTTAATATCTCAATACACCGGTATATTCAAGACTCTTGAGACAAGGTGACACTGAACTTTCGCATAGCAACAGTAAGTTCTGCCACAGCCATTTTCACGATGGTCTCTTCTCTACTCGTTCCTTATATATTTTTATTTGTGGATTTATAACAGTATCTCTTATGTTATTTATAACAAATTGCTGCCAGGCCCGCCAGTGTAACAGTCCCAATGTTATAATCCCGAAAATTTCTCTAGCTTTCTGGACATCGATTGGATACATGTTTTTTGTACCATGCACTAGTACCAGTACAAATCTCACCGCGTAGTTTGTGTTTATGCGTGAGTTGTGTATGTCATGTTCAATCAATAAATATACAGTTAATGACATAGCTACAGCCTCAATGCCATGTTCAGCGAATCAATTTTTTTATCTAATTTCTAATTCTTTTAAGGTCATTTTGCTAACTGGTATTGGTCATTTAGTATCATCTGGATAAATCTTAATATACAGATTTATTATGTATACATATTATTACTTCTGATATTTTCTGTTCTTTTTTTTTTTTTGTTTTATGGTCCAACTTTTTTGTCATGTGTGCTATTTTCTGATTCGTTTTGAATAATGAGAATCCAAGTATTTTCTCAATATATTATATTTTAAATATATGAATATCTCAGAATGTATGGTCTTAAATTTATCCTTAGTATGATAATATTGTATTAGTTTGATAATGCTGTAAATGTAACAAATGATTCTTGTAGAAAATTCAAGTCAAGATACCAACAGATCCGTATGAAGCTGAGCTTCTGATGATGGCAGAAATGGTGGCTGAAGAAAAGAAGGATGACATTACCGATTCAGAAAGCGATGTTGACGACACAGGTGGTCCAGAAGATAGTTACAGCCCCGAACCTGTTGATGCTAGCAACACTTTTGGCGACGACATGTTGCAGATGGCATTAAAAATGGCTACCGAACTAGATGAACCTGCAGTTGACCTGGAAGGGGCACTGACAGCAAATACTATAACAGGTGAGTGTTGGTTTGGCGTTTCTATTGAGATTTACCCATGTTTAAAGTAGTTCTAACTATACTTTTATTTAAAAAATCTAACTGACTGAGTATTATTTCTCGATATAATTGTGGTTTAAGGAGGAGATTGAGCCCAAAATAGCATCTGTTAGTCGTGCAAATTCTATGGTTTATATCTGCAGTAGTATTATTTTCAGTGTTAAGGAGCGCTCCCAGGTATACAAATTCGTTCACTGCTTCGATGACGTCGTTTTCTATAACGAGTGGTCTTAGGATTTGTGGTTGCATGCTTATTTTTATATACTTCGTTTTGTTGGTGTTTATTATTAAACCCATTTTGTAGCTGATCCTTTTAATGCTACATACGTCTCTCGTACAGCGTTTTCCATTCTCCCAACAATATAAATATTATCATCATAGGCCAGGATTTGCATTGATTTATTATATATGTATTGAACCAGTGGTTGCGATTTTTGACATACGTATTACTTTTCCCAGAGCCAGATTGAACAGTATACAGGAGAGAGGGTCTTCCTGGCGCAGCCCATTATTTGTTTTAAAAGGTTCAGACAGTTCCTCCTGAATTCGTACTCTACTTTGAACTTTTTCAAGAGTTAGTTTTGTTAAATTTTTTGAACGACGAGCATAATGAGTGATTTAGACTCCATGAAAACACGATTTAACGATCAAATTAATACGTTTAAATCTTGAAAAGGAAAAATCATCAGCTATTGACAAGTGATGAGTATTATGCACTCGTAAAATCTATTTTAAGCCGTGCAATTAATTCGAGATGTCAAATCTATCTTATTGTCGTGCAGTCACAAGCGGATGGTGACTACAAATTTATTATGGTCTATTAAGACCATCTTAGCAAATTTGTCCACCTCATCATCATCATTTTGGCTTTACAACCCTGTGTGGGTCCTAGCCTCCCCAAGATTTTTTTCCAGTCGTCCCCTATCTATCACCATTTGTCCACCTAAGAGCATTAAAAACTAAGCGTGCCGAAGAAGTTGCGTACTATTTGTTTTATATGTTCATCATATTTGGAGCTCCACACATTTTACACACCGTTAATGTCGAGAATTCGCAAACAAGGTTATTGAAGAAGCCTGCCGTATGTGGGATGAACGGAAAATTGTTCACGGAAAACCCAGACACAGCCAGTTACAAGGTGCGGCAGAGAGAATTAATCATGATATCGAGAAAATGTTGGCCGCATGGTTGGGAACAAACGAAATAAGTCAATGATCGGAAGGAAGAAAGTTTATCCAATTTATGAAAAATAGAACTTACTATTCCGGCATTAATTGTAGTCCATAAGATTATTTGGTTGCAAGGTTATTAAAAAAAATCCTTACCTGCTGGTACTTTATCCGAAATCAGAAACGAAGAAGATTTAGAAGCGATATTAACAGATCAGTCTGATGACGCTGAAGATGGAGCAAAGCACCGTGGTAATGTGGATGTCAACAGTACAACCAAGGATTCACAGTTACCGAATATTAAAGATCCAGGTAACACTAACAGCTCAATCGAATATAATGCGTGTACGTTATGTACTGTGCGTATAAGTACTGTGCCAGTCTTGGAGTTGAAGAAAATAAAGGAGACGAAGAAGATGGCACTGCAATTGACAAAGCCTCACGGAAAATTCAAAAGATTCCATATCTTTTAAAACAGTCACTTATAAAACAAGCTCATCATCATCATCATCTTGGTGCTACAGCCCTTAGGGCCTCGACCTTCTCAAGCTTTCTACGCCATTCTGTTCTGTCCCTTGCTTGCATTTTCCAGTTGTCGACTTCGATCTTCTCCGCATCTTGTGTTACCCCATCCATCCACCTCAGCTTTGGTCTACCTCGTCTTCTCATTCCCACGGGTTGCGCTGTTAGAATCTTTTTTATCATGTTCGATTCAGGGGCCCGGGCTACATGTTCTGCCCACTGCAGGCGGTTTCGCTTAATTATATTGGTATTAATGATTGTAAAACAAGCTATCAGAATGTTAAAGCATTCTAATGATGGATTCCCTGTTGCAAAAGAAAGTCTATGTCCCCAGAGTGAGGATTACCAAATTTCATAAATAATCAATAGTGAATTCCAAAATGCGTTTTTATTACATTAACCAGAATTGGTAATAAAGTATTAATAATATCCGGTAGATCTAATTATAAAGGCATTATTAATCACATTAAACGAATTGCTAGGGCAACGGACGTCCTAAGATACGGTGCAAAAAAATACGAAAAAATACTTTAAAATAATCTGATAAGGGCTCTTCTACCAATCACTGGAAATAATAGATGATCCAGAATACTTAGAAATATACAGTAGACGATTGATGGATGGTACCTCCTGCAAGCCCTTCTTACATTTTAATATATTTACAATTATTTTATGTATTTACTAAAGGTGCTATAGATTTTTGTATTTTAATTTTGGTTTATTCTATCTTATAAAAAAATATAATTTCCAATACATTAGTATATACAAAAATAATAATAAAAAGTAGTTACGAAACATTTAAAATGGGTATCTCAATATTCTTGGTATAAAAAACCCTAATCTACTTATACGTAGCGTCACAAGGTGGTGAACCACATCATCCTCAAGATGAGAATGTAGACGAAACTCAGCCCATGCATCACATGATGGAAAGGAGCCCATCAGCAAGAGGCAGAAAGAGGGGAATGCGGCAATCCAGAGGGGGAACTAAGCGTGGTAGGCGAATGTCTCATCATCAAGTTGATATGCCAATGATGCAGCATCACCAAGTACAGCAGCCCCCTCCACCATCAGAACCTGCCGAGAAGCCAGATGCTAACATGTGTTTGAAGGTAAAATTAGCAATGAATTTTATTTTGCACTTTCAATGCCCCTTAAATTATGGATTGTTTAAGATTAAATAAGTTTTGAATATAGTCTCTTGGATCAACCTAGATCTTAATAATAGAACCAAATTGAGGTCAGATTGAGTCTTTAGACTCCCTACAGTAATTTTAATAGTTTTGAACATAAGCAAGAAAGTAGTACATAAAAATCCAAGTAGGATGCGAAATGTAATTTGTCAAACAAGACAGTAGTAGAGTAAAATCAAGAAAGTGAAACTAAATTTAATACATCACCAAAGAGTGTGTATGAAACTGTTGGTGCTAAGTCACTATATGTGTCATATGAATCCCAATGTATGTTTACTCCAAAATTGTAGAAAAATATTGCTGAAATTCCTATTTCAGTCAGACTTAAACGAGAAATAGGACAACCATATTACTAGTATGCTGTTTTGTATTAATATTTTGTATAATTTATAAAAAGGTTTAAAGGGGGATGTTGTGTTAGTGTTTCTATAGTTGCCTATTGTAGATTACCAGTTAGGGCTATGAGGAGGTTAGATTATTCTGGGCAATAACTAATGGAACTAAAAATGTCACAAGGTATTTGTTAAGCCAAAATAAATATATTATAAAAAGTAATATAATAATTCGTAATTTTAAATACACATGAACCCAAACTAAGCTCTATGTAAAGAATAAATTCATGCAATAAGTTGCGATTATTCTTTGTTACAGTTTAAATTTCTTTTTGCTGATTCTCTTACATTTTTCGTGTTCGTAGCTTAGTACATCATCGTTTCATTTATTTTTAGTTTAACCCCCTATAGTTCAATAACTATATTTTTAGCCATATGGCTAAATAGTATAATAGTAGCTTGAATAGTAGATAGTACAGCAATGTACACTCCAAACGTCGAATATATGAATATTGTCTAGATATTTCGATGCTATTAGATAACTATAGCGAAGCATCTTAAATATATGATTTCAGAATAATGTTAAAAAATATTTGGTGACAGAATCTCGTGGAAAAATTAATCAATTTATAAGAAGTTGAACTTCGATTATCTAATAGTCCTTTTATTTTAGTACACCTTTGGAGTAAACGCCTGGAAGCAGTGGGTTACTACGAAAAACGCTGACTTAGAAAAAACTCGTCATGTGAAACTGTTCAAAACTGAAATTCTACAATTAACGGCTGATGAATTAAATTTCTCCCTCTGTTTATTTGTGAAAGAAGTCAGGAAACCGAATGGTGCGGAGTATGCACCAGATACAATATATTACCTATGTCTTGGAATACAACAGTATTTGTTCGAAAATGGCCGCATAGATAATATATTTTGCGATCCGTACTATGAAAAATTCACAGATTGTTTAGACGAAGTGGCAAAGAAGTTTTCAATTCTGTACAATGATTCACACTACATCGTTACTAGAGTTGAAGAGGAACATCTTTGGGAAAGTAAGCAATTAGGAGCTCATTCACCGCACGTTTTACTGAGTACTTTGATGTTTTTCAACACTAAACACTTCAATCTCACAGTAAGTATTGTTTATTTTTTAAGCTAAAACCATTTATATTCTAGTACAGCAATGGTTAGCATATGAGAATAACGGAAAAAATAATTTCGTATATGCGAATCATTTAATTACAAAATATCGTTTTAACATAACTTGAAAATTTCCTATAAACAACAAAAAATTAAAGAAAAAACAATCGAAATATTAGAAATTAAATTCAGACTTAATTTTTAACGAACCAATAGGTATTGGGGAAGATTTATTGCCTCTGACTGATATTTCTTCTTCTAAAGGTGCCTATGTTCCAGTGATTTTGTCGACCACACTGATCCATCTTATTCTGTTCACAGCACCTCGAAATAGACTAGTTGACATTTAGATCAGAGGTGGCCTCTGGTTACTATTCAGAGACCTGGCGGTAGAAGCTTTTACCAGGTCAATACTCTAGATCGAACTTGGTTCTCTGTCGTTTTTCATGGCGTTTTATACTTTTGGCCGGTATTCCATCCCCAGTGCGTGTCGATGGTGGTGGTAGGTTGCTGATGGGAGTGCGGGTGTTTATTTGGAAAAAAAATGTAGCATACATTTTTTTGTTGCGTGAAGACCATGGGGTGATCCCACCCACCCTACATGGCAACTTCATCTTAATCTTAATTCCTTGTTCCACACGTGGCAACTTCATCTTAATCTTAATGCCTCGTTCCACACGTGGCGATTTCTTGGTTCAACCGAAGAACTGCTTGAACTTCAGAAGAATGCGTTCCATCTCTTTTCCTGTCGTGACTGGCAGCCCAGAGCTCTCTGGTGTTCCCAGTGGGCTCGTCTCTTCTGAAATTTTTAGTATTTCTTGAATCGTTGACTTCTGACTGAACTATGTTCTTTTAAAACGTGCCAGTTACTGTTTGTCTAAGATAAGGATAGGGGCTCTTCGGAGGTATCTCCCCCTCTCATAGTCTTAAGTCATCTGTTTGGGATTGCTACTAGTTTTACCATTACCAGTGATATAACTGATGTTACTGTGTAGGGTCCTGAATATTTTAGTGCTCTTCTGGTCTTCGAAAACATGTTCCATGTGTACTTTTGCCAGTTCTCTTATTGCTTATTTTTAATACTCAATTTTCACTAAATTTCTCTAATAAGCTCTAAATTTTCTGCGGAATCCTGTATATTTTGGCATTTGGATTAATTTTTCCTGTCAAATTCTCTTCTAAAATTAAGAAGTGTTGATGAAAATCCTGTCGAATCATGTCTTGATGAATTTATGATTTTTCTCCACGTATGTAGATATCATTACCTTTAATACTTTGTTGGTTCGTTACACTGGATTGCACTGCGGCGAGTAAGGTGGCGTAAGGATGTAGGTTATTGATGAACTTGCCTTAATTTGCTAATTTTTTCTTCCAGACTTAATGTTGCCGGCATTTTTGTGGCTTCATAAACAAATACTCTTTCAAACATTTTGACAGTTCTCAAATTCGACATGCCTGTGCATTCTGGGTTAATTATGCATTAATGTGCAAACTTTGAAAATGCAATAAAAACAGTCAAAAACAGAAAAGCTACAGGACAAGATGAAATACCAACAGAAATACTTAGGATACTTGAAAATGCGAGAACAAATCACTTCTTGGCCTTTTAAATAAGTATACAAAAACGGAAAAATACCAACATATTGGCTCAAATCTCTATTTGTGATGCTTCCAAAAAAAGCAAATTCTAAAAAGTGCTCCGACTATAGGACAAAAAAAATCTTTCTTTGGGTAATTCACCCCAGAATTAAATCTAGAATTGAAGGAGAAATCAGTGACACGCAATTTGGTTTCCGTGATAATCTTAGAACAACAGAGGCAATATTCAGTGTGGAAGTTATGGTCCAAAGGTGTAGAGATGTCAATCATCCTGTGTGCATATGCTTTATAGACTTCGAGAAGGCATTCGATAAGTTTCACGTGGAAAACTGATGGAAATTCTTGGACGAATAGGAATAGACGATAAAGATTTAAGAAGTGTACAAAATATCTATTAGCGCCAGCAAGCATATGTCAGAATTGGTCTAGATACTTCTGAATCAATTGAAATTCTCCGTGGGTGCACTTGTCACCGCTGCTTTTTACTCTGTACTCCGAGCATATTCTCAAAGAGGCACTTGCTGAGGTTGATGTCGGTATCATGTTCAACGGAATTCAGTGATCTGAAATATGCGGATGATGTTGTGTTGCTTGCTCCAGTGTTACTGGAGAATGTGAAGAATACGGAAATAGAAATAACTAAGAAGATTATGTAGAAGATCCAAATTAACCACCCCCAGGAGCAAGCAACAATACACCATTGGAGCCTCCATCAATTCAAGAAGTGCGGGATGCAATAAAACACCTAAAAAATAATAAATCTCCAGGAAGTGATGGTATACCCGCGGAACTTATTAAATGTGGATGTACTATTCTGACTCCATATATATATATATATATATATATATATATATATATATATATATATATATATATATATATATATATATATTATATATATTCATACTGAGAGCCTGGAATGAGGAACAAATCTCGGAAGAGTTGCGTATTGGGATCATTTGCCCGCTACACAAAAAGGGTGATAAATTGGAATGTAGAAACTATAGGGGAATAACCCTCCTTAATACAGCATACAAAATATTTTCGAGTATTTTATATAGTCGCCTGAGTGCATATTCAGAGGATCTTCTTGGCGAATATGAAAGTGATTTTATGCCTGGTCGATCAACAACAGACCAGACCTTTGTGCTAAAGCAAATACTGGGAAAAAACTAATGAATTCAATATCGACACATAGCTAATGGATTTTGACGAAGAGCTATGACCTTGTAAATAACAGGTAAACGTGTGTACTAAATCGGTATGACTCATAGCTCTTGTCAAAATCCATTGCCTTTACCATCTTTTCGTAGACTTTAAATCGGCCTATGGTAGTGTCCTAAGAAATAAATTGTTTGAAGCTATGCATGAATTCCACGTCCCTGATAAACTGATAAGATTCGACGCCAAACGTAAACTTAAGACAAAAAACAAAAATAACCATATACAAAACGCTTATACAACCAGTGTTGACATATGAATCGGAGACATGAACCATCTACAAAGCAATGAAAACCTCCTGCTTATATTTGAACGAAGGATCCTGAGAAGAATATTCGGTGGCATCTGTGAAAACGGTGTTTGGAAAAGGAGGTACAACTACGAGATATAACACAGATATAAATGTATATGTGGTGGTACAGACATAGTAACCCTTATAAAAATACGAAGACTGAGATGGGCAGGACATCTGGCAAGATCACAGCAGACAACCCTCCTAGAAAAGTCCTTATGTCACAACCTGTGGGAAGTAGAAGTAGCGGTAGGCCAAAACTCAGATGGAGGGATGGTGTAGATGAGGATGGTAGAAAAATAGGCGCAGCAAACTGGCAACAGTTGGTAATGGATAGAACTGACTGTTGTACTAGACTTGGGAAGGTCAAGGCTCTTTTATATGGCTGTAGCACCATGATGATGATGATAAATATGTTGTCGAAGGTCTGAGGCTGAGGTTCCTGAGCAGCTGGATTGCTGGATCCAGTAATTGCAATTTCTAGTTGCAACAATTTGTGTAAACATCTTTCAACATTAAATATTTAAGTTTATGTAGTGTTAACTGTAATGGAATATTAGAAAATGCGACTGACTATGTTATTTATCCTTCTAATATTGGTCCATGTATGATCATATTTTAGTTCAGATTTAATGTTAATTTTGCTGTAGTTTACTAAAAAATACTACATTAACACTGTATAGATAATAGATATCCATCAATGTTTAGAACTTACTGTATTTTCAATGTTTTATTTTTGTAGAGTGTAGATGAACATATGCAGCTGTCTTTCTCACATATAATGAAACACTGGAAAAGAAATCCAAACCAGCCAGGTGCTTCTAAGGTACCGGGTTCCAGAAATGTTCTTTTAAGGTTTTACCCTCCACAAAGTGCAATCCGTAAGTTTATACTATCTTTCTTTTTTATTTCTTAAACTATTCATACTATTCATTTATTGTCTAGCGGTTGCTGAAGTTTTGATTCGAATTATTTTGTCTGGAATCTATTTTGCTCCACAATAACTAGATTCATTTTAAGAACGGATTGTGTCTGAAGTAGAACCTTAAATCAGTTTAGTCTACTTAATAAGCTCTTTTCTATTTTAGAAAATAATGTAAGGAAGAAGAAGGTCTATGAACAACAAGAAAATGAAGAAAACCCTCTAAGATGTCCCGTTAAACTTTACGAATTTTACTTGTCTAAATGGTAAGTTCTTTTCTTTCTCCCCTTCCTTTTTAGATTAATTAGCTTTTTAATACAATACATATTCGCACCGTGCAGCTGAACAAGTATCGCCCTCTGTAGGTTTAAAAACATTTATAAATCTGTAGTAATAAAACAAAAAATTTGTAATTAATCATAAATATTGTATAATAAAGTCTGTATATTAAAGTTGCCATATTTACCTTTTGAAGTTGATCAACCTATCAACAAGTTGATAGCCTACTCGTGGTCACTTCGAAAACAACTATTTTAAAAGAACTTCTTCTTCAAGTGCCATCTCCGCGGCGTAGGTCGGCAATCATCATAGCTATTCGGACTGTTGAGACGGCTGCTCTGAAAAGTTCATTTGATGTACATCCGTACCACTCTCTCAGGTTGCGCAGCCACGACATTCTACACCTCCCTAGTTGGAGCAAGGTGTATTTCTCTCCACGTGTAATATGTCCGAGATATTCTAATTTTCTTGTTTTAATTGTATTTAAAATTTAAAAAAATTTTTTATTCAACCTAATCATAACCTCTTTGTGACGTGTTCTGTCCACGATAGTTTCAGAATTCTTCTATACACCCACAGCTCCAATGATTCCAGTTTTTTCATTGATGTCGCATTCCAGGTCCAATATGCCATTCCATAAAACAAAATAGAAAAAACATAGCACCTCGCCAACCTAACACTCTTCTCATTTTGTTGAAATTTGCTCTAGCCTTTTCTTGTCAACTTGTTCGACGTGGGTTTCGTTTATTAAAAGATTCTCGTTATTTCGTTGAGTTTTCGATATTCTGATAAATTTCGTCTTCTTGACATTCATTGTTAGACCACACTCTTTTCCATACTCTGCTATTCTGGTCACCAGTCTCTGAAGATCTTCAATGTTTTCGGCTAAGATCACAGTGTCATCCGCATATCTAATGTTGTTAATGGGAACTCCATTAACCTTTATTCCAGCTATTTCACCCTCAAGAGCGTTTTTCAGAATCTCTTCGAAGTAGGCATTAAAAAGAATTGGCGACAATACGCATTCCTGTCTCACTCCACATCTAATTTCAATTTCTTCTGACAACTGTTAGTTAACACGTACTTTTGCTCGCTGTTTATACTATAACTTTGATATGATTCTGAGGTAGTTGTAGTCAACCTTTTTTTATTTGAATGAAAGATGAATGAATTATTTTCGGAAATTTATAGGGTGGCCATTTTTTTTGTCGTTCAGTGTATTTCATATTTTATGTGAAAATAAATTCTTGTAAAATGAAGCTTTTGCCGATATTTGGGCAAAAATTGAATTTTCTTACTTGTGCCACTCTGGCTTTTAACGGCTTAATTGTTTTGTCTTTATAAGAGTGGTTTTTGAAGAAATATATTGTAGAATAATTTGTTAATTTTAAAGTAAAGATAATAAAAATTTTAAACAAATGTACAAACAGAGCAAAAGTACTAGATAACAAAGCTCTCCTTTTTTTTGTTAACAAAATCGAACCATCTAAAATAACCAAAGATAATATCGGGATTAACCTGACACAATCTTAAGTAAATAGAAAGGTTAACTAAAATATTAGTATTATTTTATTATTTTTATTTTATTTTAGCCCTGAAAGTGTAAAAACAAGAAATGACGTGTTCTACTTACAACCAGAACGATCTTGTGTCCCAGACAGTCCAGTATGGTATTCAACAATGCCACTACCAAGAGAGGCACTGGAAAAGATGCTTCATAGAGTAAAAATGGTTAAGGAGATCAACGTTGCTCTATTAACAAGTTAATTTTTCAGTTGTATTGTAACGCAGCCATAATATTTAGTAAGGTTGAGTTGAAGTTGATAACAAAGAAAAAACTAACCAATGTCTTAACGATTGACCTATTTTTTGTGTACCATTTTTATTTCGACATAGATCAGCCTGTTAATATATTTCGAACATTGATTAATTTCTATTAGTATTATCACAATTTCTTTTTTTTTTCAAATATTTAACTATATTTTAAATCATATTAATTAATGCTTTATAGCTATAATTTTTATGCTTATTCCATGTGATTATATATCGATTATACTTTATATTCTTTGTTTTGTAGTTTAAACTGGTTTCTTGTGTCTAGTAAAAATTACTTAAATGTTTTAATTATTTACATTTATTTAATTAAACAATAAAATATCGCATGAACATGGCTTCATAAAAATATTACGTAAATGAGTTTACATCGACCATTATCCATATATCATGCCAGCCATTATGTTCGATCAAATTTCTTTGTCCGCTCTTTGTTCAAATCCGCTTTGTATTTTATCCTATTTTAAGTTTTAAATTAACACAAATTGTCTTCCAAGGACGTCCATTCTTGTAAGAAAATGATGCGCTGAGTATATCAAAGTTCAATGAATATCGTGATAATGAATCTCACCTTAGAGTTTCTTTATTACCTGATCTAATAATACGAATACCCACAACTAATTTATCCTTTGAACTTAACGGTGATCCAAGTGGACATCAATGTGAATAGGTACGGATCTTGACATTGTGCTCAAAAGCAATCTCAGTCTCATATGAAATTTATCAATCTGCCTTTATAATCTGCAATATATTTACCACAATTTTCAAATACTCACCAGGAACTTTTTTTTTAATGACTACTACGTAACTTCACGAATCATATGCTTTCTAAAGATCAATGAAAACCATATGAATACCTTTATCAGCTTCAATGCTGTTGTTAATTAGCCTAACTTAAATTTCAACTGACATCTGTATGTCATTTTTCTCTAATGGATTAATCCATTGTTTCTCTACCGCGTTTGTATGGTGTGATTAATTAGTTTTAGGATCCTATAAATTACTCATTGTTCAGCATTTTGATTGTTTTTGTACACATGCACTAAGATACTAGTTCTCTCCAGTCTTAAAAAAACTATTTTGCAACTAATTCCTGTTTTATCTAAAGCTTTCCATGCTTTTCCAGGATTATCATCTGTCATTTATGAAGTAATTTCGTCGTTCCTTACTTTGTATGCTGTGTTAAGTTATTAAAGTGGGGCAATTTTAACATGTTTTCGTGTATTTCTCTATTATTTTTGTCTCGAATACATCTAATCTTAGCTGTCTATGTTTGGCCTATGTTTTTCTTTGATTTCTTTACTTCGTATGAATTGCAGTGTCTACTAATACCAATTATATTTATTTTATGCAACTTATATGGATCGTTTTTTTTTTCGTTCTAACACATTTTCTTATTTTTTAACTGATGTGAATTATAATTCAGTTTTATTATTTTGTTATTTATTGCTCTTATTGCTTCGTATATTGAACATTGAAACATAACATTGAAGAATAAAAGACGTGGTACCTATACACTCCTTGGTTGCATAATTTTATTTACCCATTTTCTTGTTTCATATAGAGTTGATCAGTTTAGTATAAAGGTGAATTGCAGGAAATGTGACCGAAAATAAGAACTTTAATTTAGTCAGTTTTTTATCCTCGGACTAAAGATAAACTTTACTATGCTCGAAAACAGCATTCAATTTGTTTTTTATTTCTTGTCTAGGTACATATTTTTGCTAGTTCCATAAGAAATCATTATAATTATTACAATTAGGTCATAACTTATTTTATTAATTAGAAAATTCTAGGTATTTCCTGATTAATTCATTTTTAATTTTAACAAACCTTGTAGTTGACACACCTTTACTAAGGTATATTATGTATTAGTTATAAAGCATTAAGCATATCATTAAACCCTATTTAAATATTTGGCGAAGCCCCTTTTACTCTGTTTTAACGTTAACTTTGAAAAACGGCTCTTCTTGTATTTTAAATACAATAAATTAGTTTTTTTGCAACCACTTAATAAAGATTTTTGCTGGTCATTTACAAAGAAAAGTTAACGTTTACTGAGGACTTGTACAGTAAAATATGAGCATTAACTCACAAATTTACTCAAAGAAAATAATACCTGTTAGATCAAAAATATTTCAAAACCTGTAACTTTCAATTGTTTATGCGAATAATCAGACATGAGAAATAATATAATATCTTTAAACATAAATAATATGTTTATGTGCACAATTGAAGTGCTTGGGGGAAAAGGTAACAAGCCACAAAAGTAGAAGATGGAGAAAACCTAGTTTGAAACTTTCAATCAAATCCTTAAATCAGAGTTTTTATTATAACACAACAATATTTTTTTTTAAATGAAGCTTTATTCTGACTATAAGCAATTTACAAACTAAAAAAAAAACGGAACTCTTAACTAAAAGAGAAAAATATTTTTCTTGAGAAATGTGGCTTACTCCTTTTTTACAAAAACATTGTTGTAAGTTTTTTTATCTAAGATGTTTCTATTTTACTTGTCCAAGTCAAAATTCTCCGTTTCCGGATCTTTTTCGAGATTTGTTAACTGTTGTCGAATGCCCAGCTCAACGTAAAAGTCGTGATAAACTAAATGAATATAAGGCATGCGGTCCCTTAAATTTTTTAGCTTATTTTCGTTAATAGGTACAGATGTGGTATATTTTTGAGGAAGATCTCTTAGATTTTTTATTCGATTTTCATCTTTTACTCCTCGCTTACCAATATTGACCGATTTAAACTCTTCATTTAAAAAGTGTTTTACAAGCATTGTGTTGGGTTTTTCCGCCTCAAATCTAAAACATCTAACTTGACTAAAACGTAAATATTCTTTTTCGTCTGTCGTCTGTTTTTTGTTAGTTTGCCTTTGCAGCTCGTCAAAGGAAATAAAATCTTTTTGTTGCATCTTGATAACTTCAAATGGATTGGTTTTTTTGGCTTTTCTTATAACGTCGCACCATTAATTGGGATGATAGATTTGTGCCGTGAATTTCTTTTTCTTCTCAATTAGGGCGAATTCACGATCTGAGGGTAAGCGCGTACTGCCTTACAAGAAAACGTTGTTCGATATCCAAAAACTGTTTTTCTCTGACTAGCTGCATATATACTGACATCGGAGCCCAGTTTTCTCTCCGTTGCAGTTATGGATGCCCAAATTGTCCATCCATGCCGTTCTCAAATAAAATGCTTTTCCCACGGTCTCATTCGGCACTGGCAATGCCTGTTGTAAATCAAATGATATTACTTCCTTTTCATCTGTTAATTTGGCATGTGCAGACTCTTTTATCAAGTCCTTTTGTAGTCCTATTATATTGCAAAAAACTCTTCTGTAATAATTTTCTTTCACTGGGACAATATGTTTGGCATTGCACCAAGGTATATAATAATCTGTATATAAAGATGATATCGATAAATCGTGATGGCTGGAATATTTGGGTATTGCTTGAATATGTCGATGGATGGACAGAATTCTCTCTTCAGATATTTTGTTTTTTCTATTCGTATGTTTTCCTCGCTTATCCGTTTTTGGAGTAGACTTTCCTTCCTTTATTTGGAAACAGACATATATCCGCTTTTTTGACTGCTGCAGACAATGAACTGGAAAAAATTCAGATTTGCATACTTCTTTGTCGGTGGCATCTTTATATAATATTTAAATGATACACTTCTACAAGATGTTTGGCGTTTGATCTTTTTTGGGTAACTTCTTTTTTTGGGAATGCATTTTACTTTACCAAATAAGTAGTTATTTTGTTACTGTCGAGTCCCCAGATTCCAAAATGCATGAAAAATTTCTTCTTCTTTCCCCATCAGGCTTGTTCTACATTTGTGTTTGCATTTACATGGTTCTCCAATAGCTTTAGGTTCCATTTCAGTCCATTGGTATGTTTTGTACCCATGGCACAGATTTCTTCTTGTTTTCTTCCGGTCCCTTTTCTTAGAATGAACTTTTCCCCAGCGTGAGGGCGTTGAATTTTCTGGAAAACTTAGATAACCTCTAGAAATATCTTGTTCTGCAGCCGGATATAACGCAGTACACATCGTAGTAACACAACATTACTCCGTTATGTAGACGTATTGTACGTAAAGGCAACAATACATATTTCGATACACAGGTAAAATATGAAATTTTATATCAATCTTAAAAATAACAAAATCTTTTGCTAAAAAAGGGAATAAGCCGCATAGAAATAAACTTACCAATATACAGTGTAGGAAAAATTTTATGGTCGGTATGGACCTTACGTGAGATGGAGTGAGAAACAGCTGTTTAAAAAGAGAGAGGTATATTAGGTACGCCCTTTATATCGCCGAATGGAAATATTAAAAAAGGGGAAATTCAACGTTGCCAAACTTATTGGTTTTATTTGACCTGTTGTCTTTTTTTTGCATTTGAACAATGTTCTATCAAGAAGATAAAATGCTCAAGATAATCAAATTTGGACGAAATTGATTTAAATGGCAGGTTACTGTTTTTTTTATTGGGAATATGCCACAAGTTTTCTTTACAATAATTGTAATATAACATTTTGATTTCCATTTCGGAAATCGTTTTATATAAATAAAATTTATTAATGTTTCGTATTTTAAGTACGATTTCCGAACTAAAAATCTAAACATCAAAATAATTTCCCAATATGAAATAATAAACAATTAAACATGCATACAATAACGCCAAATTAAAAAATATTCATACACTAATTTTATTTGGCAACGTCTAGTCTAGATTGTCGTCTGGTCAAAAGATCGAGTAATGAGAAGTAGAGGTGGGTCGTGCTAGTTTATCGTTAAGAGCGTAGAAGCAAAATTTCGGGCCAATGTTTTTTAAATGCATTCATTTTTTTCGAATCCTGAGAAAACAAATAAATATTTTTGAAAAAATTAAACGCAGAATGAAACAATACATTATTACCGAGAGCTGAAAGTCCCTGAAAACTTCTATAATGTTTATTTTAATAAGTTATAGGGATGAAAAAAAAAACAAAATTTTGTGTGATTTTTAATTTCAAATATCTCATTAAAAAAACTTTTTGTTTATTCTAAGGGACCTTCGGCCCTCGGTAATAATGTAATCTTTCATTCTGCATTTAAATTTTTCAAAAATATTTATTAGTTTTCTCAGGATTCCAAAAAAATTTAAATTTTTTTGAATGCTAAAAAGCATTTAAAAATTTT